CACGGCTTGACGAAGAGAGTCCCTAACCCTTCTTATATATGTCTTATTTTTAGCCAATGTTTTAGTTTAATGTCTAGTTTTGATACATTTGTTTGTAGACATATCAAGAAATTAGCGAACCAAGTTGCTCATATCATGGTGAAGACAACGAGTTCTCAGTCTGATTCTCGTACTTGTGAACGTGGTCCCATCCAGTTGTATTTATGCCATTTCGAATCCTGTTTAATATTACTTTTTTTTTTTTTTTGCCTTTCAAAAAAACCAACAAAATAGAAATATAATACAATATAACTATAACATCAAATTCTATTCAAGTACTAGGACAATGAATGCATGTATATGTCTTACGTAATCCCTACAAATATATAGGAGGTGTAGCTTAGCCATAATATAGCATCCGTTTTTATATGTTTGTTGGGTTTAACTTATTGCGAAAAGTCTTCGCAGAGGAATAATCAATAATATTATGATTGCTACCGAAGCTACGACTTATTGGTTAGATCGATGGGATGTCAACAATCCACACTCAACATAGATCATAAATTCCTATTTTCTTCTGTTCAATAAAAATTGAATTATATTTAAGTAATTAATTTGATCAGATCAGAGTATGTTTCATTTCTTTAAAAATTTGCAGCCAACTAATAGTAGTAGTGCATGATTACATTTGGATTTTGATGTGTTGACGATTAACCCAAAAAAATATGTAGCTTTAAAAACTTTTGAATGATTTTCAATTATGATTGTTATTTTTAATAAGTACATTACTGTTCATATTTATACTCTATGCATAGCTTATTTACTTGTGAATTGTTACAATTGTATCTAAAATCAGGAGTGGATCCAGAAAATTATCTAAGTAGGGGCGTATTTCAAATGACTTTAGAAATGTCAATGACAAAATATCAAACACTCATAATATGGTTCAAATACAAAATACATTATAAATTACAATACAATATTTATGATAGATTATATGATAGTTAGGGGAGGAGCCAAAACTATACTTGGGTAGGGTGTAATTTTAAAACACTTTGAAATATTATAAAAATATTTATGATAAAATATGAAACATATTAATCAATTAGATAAAATAGTTTCAATAGAAAAAAACATTATATTCATAAATACTTTAATTTTAATTATCTTTTAGTTAGATCAGCTTTAAATTTTTCTAAATTAATTTGAATACGATGAACTATAATATAAATTTTTGGACTACATTAACGAAATGATTCACAAAAACGTTTGGAAGAGCTAAAATATACAAATTAAAACTGGTAATGGGATTTGATCTTATGACATTTATGTTATCATATCCAAGGTTGCAACAAACTAAGCTACTCAAGTACTTTGTAATTATACGTAAATTTTGATTATATATATATATATATATATATATATATATATATATATTACGACTATATGTGTATATATATACATTAATACATATACATAAAAATAAGGGGTGGGGCGGGGTGAGGGTTGTAGTTGTCCTTATTAGGACTCTATGTATATGAGTCTGTTTAGAACTTCTTATCATTGTCACACTGTGACTCTCTACTTCTTATCATTGTCACACTGTGACTCTCTATTCTATATATTCACATCATCTGATCTCATTGTAATTAAGTTCAGAAAATATAATACAATCAGTTCTCATTTGGTATCAGTTAGCTAGGGTTTTGTGATTCATAAAATTAAGAAGATGCAGCGCTGCGATGGCAACCTTAATTACCGTGGAGGTCAGCAACGTGGCTTCGATGATCCGTGTCAAATCTGTAAAGGTTTCGGCCACACAGGAGTCAATTGTTTTTGGCGCTATGATGATCCGTGTGACCAAAACGTTTACAGATTCCGGGTATTTCCATTCCAAAATTATGGTGTGATAATCTAGGAGCTACATATATGAGTGCCAATCCAATCTTTCATGCGCGCACCAAGCATGTGGAGATTGATTATCATTTTGTTCGTGATCGAGTAGCTTCGGGCGATATCCAAGTCAACTTCATCTCCACAAAGGATCAACTTGCTGATATCTTCACCAAAGCTCTGCCTGGACCTAGATTTTCTTCCTTAAGGGACAAGCTACAGGTTACTAGTATACACTGTGCTTGAGGGGGAGTATTAGGACTCTATGTATATGAGTCTGTTTAGAACTTCTTATCCTTGTCACACTGTGACTCTCTACTTCTTATCATTGTCACACTGTGACTCTCTATTCTATATATTCACATCATCTGATCTCATTGTAATTAAGTTCAGAAAATATAATACAATCAGTTCTCATCGTCCTCATTATAGATTCATCCATGTCTAAAATGATCTTTATTTGCTTTATTTTGATCAATTAGGTACACTTTTTTATTTTTAAGTAGAAATGAATGATTTCTTGGGCATTTTCAATGAAATTGAAGTCAGTGGGAACCAAATTGAAGTGATGTAGTTGGATACAACACCTCTTAGCTTAGAGAGTCAAATTAAAGAGTGGTTCTTTTAATGGTGTTGATCATATGGGCAAATCAAGGCAAAAATGAAGTAAAAGAGTAAGGATTTCAAATTTTCACCCAGCATAACTACTGTTTAGTATTTTCGTCATATCTCAGTATATGAATGTCGAAATTGAGTAATTCTGCTGCCATTAAAATTCAAATCAAAGGGCTACAACTTTTATGCAGATCATAAAACATAATTTTGACGTTAAAAAGGTCAAAATTAGTGAGGAAGAAGTCCTGCTTAAGATGAAGGGGCTGGTGATGAACAGGTATTCCTGAGGGCGTTCATTGCTGGCCTGGATCTTCAACTTTTGTAGCACACTTGATAAGGATGAAGGATTGAGGAATTGTCCTTCCTCAGAATGATATATTTTCTCCCAAGTTGCATTGTCGTTACATTCCTCAGATCATTCCAATTAAGGTCGCCTGCTCATTATTTAAGCACGATTTAAGTTCTTTTTTCCATTACTCCAACTCATGGACGGGCCTTAACTATTCTTCTTCCTTTCAATTCCTTTCATAATTATTAGGGTTAGATTAGGTTTAAATTTAGACTTCAGTACATTTTTATAGCTTGTAATAATCAAAAATTTAATGCTTGGATTCCATGATTTACCATCCATTAATAGATAAAATTTTCTTCTCTTAATCTCTTCTTTATTTATGTGATTTACTTATTGTTCTTGCTATTTTGTGTTCTTTATGTCTAATATCTATGATTTATTTATCTAGATGCTCTATTTGTGATTATTGCATAAAGGGTAAAAGTCTTAAGGTTCTTGGATTTATGAAGGATTTGCTCAAGCACATTAAACATCATGCCACCTTGCGAATTCTTCCATCCATATTATCATTTATTGAAGTCATAATGCAAAATTAGAAATAACAACAACAACAACAACAATAACAACAACAACAACAATAATAATAATAATAATAATAATAATAATAATAATAATAATAATAATAATAATAATAATAATAATAATAATAATTAGTGTTAAATACAAGAAAAGTGAAATTGTCAGCCCAAAATGAAATGGCCTGCTGCAAATTAGTAAATTAAGTCTTTTTTTTTTTTTTTTTTGAGAACAATTAATAAATTATGTTGGAAAAATCCATATTCACTACAGGTTTCCGCTATTTGTTTGACCACGAGATTTCGGTCTCCGCAAGACCGCAACCCAAATCGATGACTGGAACATCGTTGCACTCAACGACCTCTGACAGCCTCGGCTGCTCGGATTCAGGTCGAAAGTACTTCTCAGGGAGGGAAGAGAATAGTACTCCGATGGAAATAATTTTGATTTCCATTGAATCCAGTTTGCACTTGGTGGTGGCGACGACAGAGGAGTGGTGTACTGGTGGTTGGTTTTGTTTTCATATTTAAAATAAATAAATAAAATAATTTGTTAAATTTTAACCGTCACGTCAACATTTAACTTGGATAGCAGGTCAATTTTGATCTAATTGCACATATTATTCAAGTTTAGGAGGTCAATTGCATGTTTTTTTAGTTGGATGGCCTGATTGCATTTTCAGGTGTTATTCAGTGGTTAATTTGAACCTAAATTAGCAATTCTATTTGTTCAAGCATAATGAATTTCAACATATAAAAAATTTCTTAACTAATTAATTAATTGAGAATTGAACAAAGTTAATTTGTGTGTGTTCCAAAAGCTTTTGATTTAGAAAAATAAGACTCAAATATTGCCTTCTCAATTGCTAACTGGACTTGCTAATTAATACGGAGTATATATTTACATGGTAAATACTAATTAATGCAAGGAACAAAGTTTGTGTCCATGTGCATAAATTAGAAAACAATCAAAATACATGCAACCATTTTTGAAAAGTTTTTTTTTTTTTTTTTTTTTTTTTTGTACATATAAAGAATATTATTAGCCAACCCAAACTAACAAGAAAATCATACACAACAAAGCTGAAGTGAAAATGGTATTAAAAAAATCAAGATGGAAGCCCCTGAAACTGTTGTTCAAGAATTGATACTCAACTTGCTTCCCAACCAGTTAAATAAAAATCTAGAGCTGAACAAGCAACTGGCAATAGCTTAAAATAGGATCGTTTAACATAATACATATAACTTTTTTCACTTTCTCCACAAAAAAAAAAAAAAAATCATCCATAAATTTTTGCCTCACATATAAACGCAACCAAAAAACATATATACAACAACAACACAAAATATAAAGATAGAAAAAAGTTTTGAAACTACTCAGACTACTATTTATTTTTGAAAGGCTACCTAGGATAATGTTTCAAAGCTATTATTTTAAGTTTTAACTTATTTGATGAACATTATCAAATAGAGTTGATATGTTATTAGTTAAAATAAATTTTTGTCAAACGGAGCCTTAGTAAAGTCGATATAATTGCCCGTGTTACTTATGACCTACTCAAATATTAACGTTTGACCGAAGGCAATAAAATGAGTTGAAGTAATCAAGAAAATTTTGAAACGGTCATGCCAGTTAGGACACCCACTTTCGCATAAATTCTGAAGACAATTTGAATCTGAATTTTCCACTCGCTTTCTTTCGTATCCTTCTGCACGCGCAATTGCCAGTTTGGACTTTGGACGCGTTGGCATCGGAATCGGCATCCTCTCCACCGACGAAATTTAAATTTGAAATTCCTCGCCGGAGACATAGCCTGTCTCGCCGGCGCCGCTTGAGTGGAGAGAATGGTTGATCCGAATTGGGAGCTGAAGGACTGCTGTAACCGCGATCAAAGGTTCTTCCTTATCACCATCGGCGTTTTCACCGTTGTTATCCTAGTTGTACGTCTCTCTCTATTCAATGGAAGCCTATATACTTCTTTTTCCCCTCTGCTAAATTGTGAAGATTTTTGCTAAATAATGGTAGCGGTATAATTCTTTAAGGTTATGCTAAAGTTTACTTTTTGTTACTTTTAAGTAAAATATTAGGAATTGATAAAAATGAAAAGTAAAGTATTGGGAGAAGAAAGAAGCAGCGATTTCAATATTTGCTGGAAACTTTACTTGAAGAATCCATAGTTCTACACTGCTCACAATGTACCGTGAATTAGTGCTATGTTGCTTACTTTTAATTAATTAATTTATTTTCCTTTTCTGTCATGCTTTTCAAATTCGGTTCATACCTTGTTGAATATTCATTTAGCACAAGAATTAGGAAATCATTTACGGATTGCCGAATTGTTAATAAAACATGGTGGTCAGAATGGGGATTTATATAATGGAACCAGCAGGAACATGGTGATGCCAGATTTCAAACTACTTGTAATAATTTGAAGTATGGAAATTTGTTATATCATCCAGTTATCAAAATAATTTGTAGGCATGACAGTAATTTGGAAATGGTAAATCGCACTAATGATGCCCAGTTGCCTAGAGGATGCTTCTAAGTTGTAAATCGAACATAAAATTGTGATGAGTTTGTGTTGTTGGCCACATTTTGGTAGGCTTGAACTCTGCTGGACTTGGTAAAACTGGATTTTAAATACTGAAGCACAAAGCACTTACTACGTTTCTTTGGTTGAATATTTTTTAAGGATTAATCTTTTGATTTTTATTTTTAGTATTTACTTGGCTTATTTCGTTTGCAATTGAAACAGTTGTGGAGAACATTCTTTCTGACTCCTTTTAAGCTCATTACTGTATTTCTTCATGAGGCGAGTCATGCGATTGCTTGTAAACTAACATGTGGCCAGGTAAATGACTAAATCCTTATACATTTGTTGAAGGACTAAACTTTAATACTCCATATCATGAGAAATATTGTGTTTGGAACTTCAGTCCAGTTGCTAAATTCCATGTAACAATTTGAATGGTGATTTTTCTTGTTACAAGATGAATGCCACTGATCTGCAATTTGATTAGTTTTAATTTGTTCATATCAGCAATCAGTGTTCTGGACTCTTGAGGCTGAAACTTACTACTGTCTGTGCTAAGAACTTAAATTAGCGAGATTTCACTTGGTTCAGATCTGCATTTAGCACAAGGGTGTTTCTTCCCTTTTATTAAAGTCGGGTCTCTACTGACCCCAGTGGACATTTCATAAACTTTAGCTATTTGACCCACTTAGAATTTGTGAAAAAAAATGATGGGGTAGATAATGAATGTTGAGATTATTCAAATGCTACGTTTGAAAAATAAAAAATTGTAACTAGGGGTGTGCACAATTCGGTGAAAATTCAGTTAACTGGTTGAACTGATAAATTTTGGTTAATAATTTTTTAACCGTAATATTTTGGTTCCATTAATGGTTAAGGATTTTTAAGAATTTTGGTTAACGGTTAATTCGGTTTGAAAGTATCAGTTAATCAAATTGCAAGTGTGTGTGTATATATATGTTTTAATTTTTTATAATTCATAAATCATAATATTGGACTAGTTTTTCAAATTTTTTTATCAATTATATATTAATGTAATCACTATTTTGTGGTGTGAAACTATGAATTGAAAATTTCATTTTATAAGTTTTAAGTATTTTAAAATTTAACTAAAATATTTTAGTTAATTAGTTAACTGATTGATTAACCAAAAAACATTTCAGCTTGGTTAATTTGGAAATAGGAATTTCGGTTCGGTTCAATTAATGGTTAAATCATTTTGCAAATTTGGGTAATTCGGTTAAGTTACTAATAGAATGAGCGCCCCTAATTGTAACCCAAATCTTCTTTCTGTTGTAGCTAAATATCATCTAAACCAAATAAAGTAAACTTAGTGTTAATAAATTATGGATTATATTAGTCTTGCTACTATATATACTCCGTAATAGTTTATAAAACATTTAAACCTAATTCCTATGAAATTATTTCTTGGTCAATATTATACTAGTAGAATTTATTGCTTTTCTTATTGCACTATAATTCAATTAAATTGCTACTAGTTCTTTGAATTTCATATTATACTTTTTTCAATTCCACAAAATCGATGGACTTAGGGTACTTTTCTTCCATGTTTAGAATTAGGATTAGGTTAAAACATTTGTATCTGATTTTAAACACTTTCAATTGCTTTTCACACACAAAATGAAGAACGTTTCTAATTGAAATCAAATTTTCTGGGAATTCATTTACAATTCAATGAGTAGATCCTAATACACAATATTCGGTGGTGACTTTGGCTCATAATTTTATAGGGGAACTATTAAATTTTATCAAATAGAGATTTTTAGTTATTATGATGTACATCTATATTTGTAAGGTGAGTTAAAATTGACCCCATGAAACACAAAGTTTGTGCAATGTGATTAATTTCTCCAGGGACTTCATTTTCATTTTTTCCTAAAACAAAAGTAGACAGTATATTTGAGATCATTCTAAAATGAGAAGGTTCCTTTTATGTGGAGTGTGGACTATTATTAAGGCAATTTTCTGCAATTAGAGACTATGCTGATAGGTAAAAAACTGACTGTTATTTGACTCAGTTCCAATCCTTTATGATTAAATACAGGTGGAGGGGATGCAAGTTCATGCAAATGAGGGGGGAGTGACACAAACACGTGGTGGTGTTTATTGGTTGATCTTGCCTGCTGGATGTAATTACTCTCCCCTTGAAATTATAGAATGTATTCTTACTTGATTTGGTAAAGCCACAAGCATGCATATGGATTAACTTTTCCTAATCTATTATGGATGTGGCTTTTGACGATTTTGTTCTCGAACTTGACATTAAATATATTCTTCTATTTTTCTTGTGCACAGATCTTGGCTCATCATTTTGGGGAATGGTTCTCATACTTGCATCAACAAAGCTTCTGACTGCAAAAATAGCTGCTGGTTGTTTTATTGCAGCTTTAGTTGTGGTGCTGTTCATTGCCAAGAATGTAAGAAGCTACCATATGGGTTTGTGCAGATGTTTTTAATTCTGAATGTATATTATTACTTTGAGACCAATTATTTTCTGGAAAGGGGTAGAATCTTTTTATTCTCTAGGTTTTCTGTTCTAGAAATAACTCATTTATTTTGTTAACAGTGGACACTTCGAGGACTTTGCATTGGTAAGTACATTCAAGAAAGTGATGAGTCCCACTATTCTGCTTTCACCTTTGCTGTAGCTTTTTTCTTTACCAGTTGAACTTTGCCAGGATTCATCATTTTCATTGCTGCAATATGGGTTCTTCAAGAAATGACTAAAGTGCGGATTCTTCGATATGTCATTCTCTTCATTGGTATGGATCTCTTCTCTTCACCCCCCACGGACCCAATCCTCTTGTTTAATTTATTTTGCCGCTGATATGGGAAGTGGCAAATTGCAGGTGTTATGAACAGCTTGTTTTCTGTTTATGGTACTTCCTCATCCCTAATCTACAAGTACAACTTTTTGCCAAACAGAAGGCTTAATATAACCCGAAATATTATGTTGCAGATATATATGATGACTTGATATCGCGAAGGGTTAACTCAAGTGATGCTGAGAAGTTTGCAGAACTTTGTCCCTGCCCTTGTAATGGTGTTGCTTGGGGAGTTATCTGGTCTGTACATAAGCTTAAGATGGACATCAAACTTTTGATGTTTGGGAACATTTTTCAGTTTTTGTTTCTTGATAAACTGAGAACACTTCTGAGATGACATTTACCATTGATTTCCTGATTTTTCTTCTTGCAGGGGGATGATATCTTTCATATTTCTTTGTGGGGCTATGTACCTTGGACTTGTCATTTTATCTTGAGGTAATAACTTCTCCCAAACTAATGTGCACTAACTTGTCTGACCCATTTTATTTCTCAGTTAACTGATACGAAAACTCAGATAATCATCTAATTCCCTCCCACGATTAGTTTACTAACTGTTAGATAATTCCATTACTTTACCAACTCTATTGAAACTGAGTAGTTTATTTGAATACTGTTAGTGGTGGCCTTGGGGGGTGGGGGTGTTTGGTAAATAGCTGTTAGTGAGTTTGACTAGTTGATAGCATTAGCTGATTGTAGGCAAGTGTTTGGTAAGTTAGCTGATAGCCTGATTATATGCAAAATAACTTTCTCAAAAAGCTAATGAAAAAGTTGCTTTGAGCAGCTTTTTGAATTTTCGCATTTTGGAGCAATAAGCTATTACAAAAAGCTAATTAATCAAACACTGATTGTTTAACCAAGTCAAATAGCTAATAGTAGTCAAATAAGCTAAAATTGGCTGATAAGCTAACTATGTTACCAAATAGGTTCAATGTGTAAAATTTGTCATTGAATGATGTTTTTTATTTCCAGGTTGAGTTGCATGACTCTGAGTCCCTTGTGGTATGGAAGAGTGCAACAATGTACTTATTCTCACCTCTTCTTTCTACATCATTTTATCATGATTGTTGTATATTTGTCATGACATCGAACATAGATCTTGCAGATGTATTCAGTAGCCCATAGCTCATTCTTTTGACCCTTCTTACCTATATAGGATGTGGCTTAGTAACATTTAAACTTGGGTTATTGCTTAATTAAATTCATATTGTTGTTAATGTCTGTTGCTAGCTCATTCTTTTGACCCTTCTTACCTATATAGGATGTGGCTTAGTAACATTTAAACTTGGGTTATTGCTTAATTAAATTCATATTGTTGTTAATGTCTGTTGCAAACTGCAAGATCTTTAATGCCTGGAGGCTATTTGTTGTTTTCCCATCAATTAAATTTTGAAAAAATAATTGTTGGGGATTATTTGCTGGGAGTAATTTTGTTCGAGAAAGTAATTAACATGTTTGGTGTTAATTTTAATCATAATAATTAAATTACTATTAAAGTTATTTCAAACATTTGATATGTTTAATTTTTATTTATTTATTTATTTATTTTTTAAAATCTCCAATATACCTTTATGACATATAAACATGAAATGCTAACTCAGACTATTAATAAGAAATGATTAAATAGATCAGACAATTAAACTCTTAGAATAACATTTTCTTTTATGCAATATGTATATATAATAGTCCGTATACAATAAGAGCATGCTCTTATATGTAGTATGTATATATAATATAAAATGTGTGACTCTCCTTGAGATGAGTGATTAACAGGGTGTTTGGTTGAAGTTAGGTTATGTTTGGAAACCCGGAAAATGACTTCTGGAAGTCATTTTCCGAGTTTTTGGTGTTTGGCTACACCTGGAAAATCCAGTCAACGGAAAACATTTTCCGTTGACTGGGGAAAATGAGCCCAATTTGGCGGAAAATGACTTCCGCCAAATTTGGGCGGAAGTCGTTTTCCGCCTTTCTCTTTCGTTATTTTTTTTTTTTTTTTTTTTTAAATCTGGCGGAACCCAGTTCCGCCAGAAACCATAGCTATGGTTTCTGGCGAACCCAGTTGGGTTCCGCCGGAAGCCAATTTATTTATTTATTTATTTTAAAAATATAAAATGAATTTTTAATTCAAAATAAAATATTTAATTATACTATTCTACTCATTTTTCAGAAAATGAACCAAACACACCAAAACAGTTTTCCAAATGCAACCAAACACTGGAAAAGGAAAATGTTTTCTGGAAAATGACTCATTTTCCAGAAACCATTTTCCAGAAGTCATTTTCCTGCTTTCCAAACGGACCCTTACTTAATTCCCACCTAATTCAAAATGTCAGAAAATTTCATTGTTTGGTTGGAAGGAAATACAATTTCTCAATTTTCATGGAATTAAAATCTCATGTCTCCCTTGGAATTTTAATTCCTGGGGAAAAAAGAGTGATGAGACAAAATTACCCCACATTTTTTTTAACGTAAAATTAATGCTTGACAACAACAATGGGCATTTTAGACTTTATAGTTTATACTACTTATTTTCTTTCAATTCCCATATATACCAAACATTGGAATTGAAATTCCCAGTAATTCTATTCTTGTAAACCAAACATTGGAATTTAAATTCCCACTATTCCCAGCAATTCATCTCCTATGAAATTACAATTCTTTTCCCACGTAATTCCCCCCTCCAACCAAACGCCCTGTAAAAGTGTAATACTTATAAAGAAAAATATAATACTAATCAAGAATAAATTGATTGTTACGGAGTATTTATGAGAAAAAGTATGATATTCTTTTAAGAAAAATGTAATTATTTTAAATAAAAATGTAATATTTAGAGGTTGGAGAGTTACTTATCATGAAAAATGTAATACTAATTTGGATAAATTGATTGATTGTTACTTAGGAGGGAAAGTGTAATACTTATGATGAAAGTTGTAATATTAATCATAAATAAATTGATTGTTACTTATGATGTAACGTGTAATACTTATGATGAAAGGTGTGATACTTTTGAGGAAAAATGTAATATTTTAAAATCAAATATATAATAATTCTTTAAAATCAAAATGCAATATTTTGGGGTTGAAGAATTATTTATGAGTAAAAAATGTAATACAAATCAAGATAAATTGATTGATTTCTATTCATGAGGAAAAATGTAATATTTATGAGGAAAAATTAGTTGTTATATATAAAGTGTAATATTTATGTAGAAAGCTTGATACTTTGAGGAAAAATGCAATTTTTAAATAAAAATGTGAACTATAATATTTAGGAGTTGAAAAGTTACTTAGGAGAAAAATGTAATATTAACAAGGGATACATTGATACATTGATTGATTGTTATTTGAGTGGGCAAATGTAATACTTGGAACTTGATTTATCTCATGGGTAAAGATTTGTAAAACGTTTTCATATGAGTTTTTGCTATATAAAATACATATTATATATATATATATATATATATATATATATATATATATATATATATATATACTACAATCAATAAAATATGTTTGGGCCAAATAGAAAAATAGTAACGATATACACATTTTTTTTTGTGAGTTGCAATATTCTATGGTGAGTGATATCATATTTTCAATGGTAAACTGTTATTTTTCTTCAAATAGTAAAGCAAGAGACAAATACGATATACTTAACATTTGTTTGGAAACCCAAAAAATAATTTTTAAAAGTTATTTTCTGAATTTTTTAGTGTTTGTTATCAATGAGAAATGAAATCAATGGAAAATATTTGATTATTATTTAAACTATACTTGGCTAGTCTGGTTAAAATATGAGTACAATCTAGTTAAGTCAAACAATAAAAATCTTAACAAGGGTTGCCCTATAATCCAAAAGATTAGAAACATTTAAGTTTTTTTTTTCTTTATTATTATTTTTTTTAGTTTAGATTTATTACAACAATTGTTATAACCATGGTCCACACTGCACTGTGTGGACCATAGTCGTCAAATGAAACTATAATAAATTAAAATGATACTTTAGTATTACTATAATGAAACTAGTGTGTATGAAAAATGAAACTGAAAAACAGGGCTTACTCAATAACGTATATTGTCAAAGGAAATTGTAGTATAATTAAAATTGTCAAATATATCTGAAGTGTAATTCAAATAATATTTCAGCATTACTATAATTAAACTAGTGTGTGTGAAAAATGAAACTCAAAAATAGAGTCAATGAAATAATGTATATTGTCAAATGAAACTGTAACATAATTAAAATGATACTATGGTATTGATATAATAAAACTAGTATGTGTGAAAAATGAAACTGATAAACAAAGCAATATTATCAAATGAAACTGAAGTGTAATTAGAATGATACCTACTCCATGGTTCACGTTATATATGGACCATGGTCCACAGTAAAATTTGTCTTTATTATAGTTATCAAATATCAATGGCCATTAAAACTATGGATTGGGTTGGATCAGATCAAACAATAAAAATACTTGCCCAACCCACAATTTTAATTTTTTTTTAAAATCATTATTTTTTTTTATTATTACAAAGGAAGGGAAACACTCACATATACTATCTATGCAATCACCAAGGCTCAAACCTAAGACATCCCATATAAGGGACCAATCAGATACCAATAAACTACAAGCCACTTGGTTGATATTATTTTTTTTAGTTCATAGTTATTACATTTATCGATGTGTGATTAAATATGACTTGGGCTAGGCCTCCAAATAATAAAAAACTTACCTTAGCCTGACCCATATCCAAATTAAAAATATTAATTTTTCTTTAATTTCTTTAGTTCAAAACTATTATATTTATTAATTTATGTATTATTTTTTCATTTTAATTTTTTTAAATTTGTTTTGAAGCACTCGATTCTTTATAAAATAATATCTGTTATATATTTTTTTCAATCTATTCTAACCTAAAAAATCAATGTCTCACCACCAGAGTTCAATTTGGAATCATTAATTTGAATTATGCAAGTCGACCATATCGTAGAACAAAATTGAATTAGGAATTGGCCAATTGGGTTATTTGGGTTGCTCTTCTGTAAGAGCAAAGTGTGATTTTAGAACAAGCGATCGACTGGGGTACTACTATTCTGGAACAAGCGCCTACGGGACTGACCGATCTTCTTTCGGCCAACTTATATAACACACCCTATTTAAGGTTAGATAAAACTCTCCTTGAGGGCTTCTACTTCACCAAAAAAAAAAAAAAAGAAGTGTGATTTTAGAATTTTTAGATTGAAATAGGAATTAGTCAACTATTAATGAACCCCAACCAATATAATTATGAAGTTGATTAACCGCTAATGCTCATCAAATTAGAAATTATCTTTTATTTTTCTTTTAAAGATAATATAATACTAAAAAATAAAATTATTTACTAGTTTAAGAAATTAGCTAGAATACATTTATTATTTATAATGATATGCAGCATGGACAATAATTTAAGATGAAGGAGATAAAAGATATATATAACAAGCATATGTGGTTGTATACTATAAAATATCTATATTCACATGCCACTCGCATACACACCTAAACGCTCATATGATCATATCCGCAATGCTTCATGAAATATAACATAAATTAAGGTGAATTAAATTAAAACAAAGCCATTTAATTTATTTAATAACTAATATGGTACAAGAGGTGACATGACAGGTTACTCGTTTAACCCTCTAAGTACCTAAATAAGAAATTCTCTTTAATTTAAATTTTAAGAAATTAAGCATTAAATGGCTCTAAAAACACTTGCATATAACTCATCATGATGATGGGTCAAAGCTACTGGAGAAGTCCAACCAATCATTCGGGTTCGCTATCAATGAACCCCAACCAACATTTGTATATCTATCGGCCATGGTGGTGTTGTGGTCTACGGAGGCATTCAATGGAATGGAGTTAGATGAACTAGCTCCATCATTATTGTTCAAGAAGAAATTCTGGGTCATTGAACCATAATGCCTAGTAGTAGGCTGGAAAATGTTTTGGCTTGAGTTGTGTAGTGGCTCAATACTTCTCAGTGGGTTTACCGTATTGAGATACCCATTTTCAACACGATAAGGTGTCATCACCGGAGGAAGCGCCAAAGGACTGAAAGCTAGTGGGGCCACATTTGCTTGTGGACAAGATTGTTGAAGTTGAGGTGGCGATGGCTGAACCCTCTTATTCTCGTACCGGTGGGTAGATCTCTTTCCCTTGTGGGACCTGCCGCCAATGGGGATGTCACGCTGAATACCACCATGAGTCCAGTGGCGCTTACATGTCCGGCAGTAATACCTTGGTTGATTCACGTTGTAATTGTTAAAATAGCAAAATTTGGTGTCATTGGAATGACAACGAGGACATTGTCTCGGCGGAGGAGGAGAACCAAGGTATTCCATCGTCCTCAACCGCCTAATCGGCGGCAGTGGCGGATGATAATCACCAACTTCGTTACCTTGTTCCATCACTCTCAAGCTAATTTAATTTGCAATTGGAGTATAATGAATTGAAAAATCTACATGACTTGGAATCGTTTTATACGGAAAAAAACTCAACAATTAATGAAAACAGATTGTAATCTATGTAACATTTAGAAAATATAATTAGTGAAATTAATTATTGTCCGTGTTTGTAACAACTTCCATTTATTTCAATGTAAAAATGCATATTACGAATATATTACCGATTTGTTGAATCTAAATTTAATATAATATAGTAATTAATGTTTATTTCTTTGTAATTTCAGACTCTCCATTGATGTTTGCAAGTATTCAGCCCATTAGCTTTGTATTTTGTTTGGGCCTTGTTTTGTGCATTGAATGCTTTTTATTTGTGGGCCAGACTATTTGATTGGGCCTCTTTTGGTCCAAGACTTCTCTTATTCAATCCTTACTTCCAGTCGTTATATCGTGGACCGCAGTCAAAACGGAGCACCGTTAGTTTTAACGAAGCGCGCACTTTTTTATATGTTAATTACCAACTGACACTACAGTATATCTGAACCGACAATGCCTCACGTATTATTTTTATATTATCAAATGAAAATATTAAAATGATATTGTCGTTGTGGTGAAATGAAACTGAATAACATTTCACATATTTGAGTGTATATTGTACAATGAAGTTGTAATTATATCAAAATGATCATGTAGTTGTGTTTTAATAAAATTATAGTGTATATAAAATAAAATTAAACAACATTTTCACATATTTGAGTCTATAAATATCGAATGAAACTGTAGTTATATCGAAATGAAACTGCAGTTGTGTTGAACTGGAACTGCAGTGTATACAAAATGAAACTGAATAACAGAGTTACTTTTTACGAAAGAGTGCAGAACGACGAGAAACAGATGCCATTTCTTTTCATTAAACAAAACGACGTCGTTTTGATGCGTGCATAATTAATTATGCACCGCGGTGCACGATATAATTTGCCGCTTACTTCCGGGGGTCAACTAAGTTTAATCAAGAGACCTTCGTCGGACAACCTGGTGTCTCGCCCGCATGGTCCAATCACCCATAGCCTGCCTGCCACTAGTCCCTTAGGCTTCCCACGTACTCCATTAACTCACCCCGCCGCCCCAATCCACCTTTCTTCTATTCTTCTTTTTTACATATGTTTTTTGTTTGTTTTCTCTCTCATCTCATCCTCTCTTTTCTAATCACACTTACAAAAACTCTTCATAAATGAGGATGCCCTAACTGCTAGCTAAGACTTAGTTGAAGGAGACAACGGAGGGCCAGCTAAGCATTGTGTATGAAGCTAGAACGGCCTATAATCATGGACAGAGGATGATGTAGGGTTTGTTATACGGGATGCTCAAAAGGCGTTTCCACTCATTCAATTTTCCCAGGTGGAAGTTGCCATCCAGGTTACCCAACGAGCCCGTGATGCCTTCAACCACTAGAACCTTTTTTTTGTTTCCCCGGAACCCATCGGAGGTAATTCGTTTTTGGCGGTGGCATCCAGATCGCTCGAAATAACAAACAACTCGTTAGCAGTCCATGAAAATACATCTGCAACGGTGGGGAGGGGTGGTGGTATCTAGATTGCTCGCACTACCAAACAACTCGTTAGCAGCGCATGTAACTATATCTGCAAGAGCGGGAAACGTTGACTCAACAACATCTCATTCTTGGACCATAGACTATTAGGACTCTATTATTCATATTAGACTAGGACTATATTATTCGTGTTAGACTAGGATTCTATCTAGTATCTCTATATATTCGCTCTCTGTACCCTCAAACATTATCATTGAATACAGAAAATATATTCTCATCTAGTATCAGCTAGGTTTTTCCATGGAAAATATCGGTGTTAATGACGGCTCTGTTCTTGGTTCCTCTGAACGGACTGTTACCGAGATTCCTACGATGCCTGCGAGTGGTAGCCTCTCATCGGCTCATCACTTTGTTTCGTTAAAGTTGACCTCCCGGAATTATCTATTCTGGCATACTCATATATTTTCTATATTCAATGATTAACATGCCGTGCCCGTAGCCAGGTCTGACCAGCACCGCGATCAGCCCGCCTCTGCCGAGCTGTCCGTGACCAAGTCCAATCGGACAGTCACAGACCAGCCACTTGCTCGGCCGAGAGGTCGACCCCGTGGTCGATCTCGTCGCATTATCTCACCAGTTCGGTCTCATGGGATGAATACGCGGAGCTCGGGGCCGCATGATCATGTTGCTCTATCCACTGATGTCACTACTGAGCCTACATGTTTTACTCAAGCGGTCAAACTTCCCGAATGGCGGGATGCAATGGATTTGGAATTTAATTCCTTGGTGTACACCAATACATGGCGGCTCATTCCTTTTAAATCAGGTATGAATATGGTTGGCTGCAAGTGGGTGTTTAGAACCAAGAGAAAAACAGATGGTTCGGTTGAGCGTTACAAAGCTCGATTAGTTGCCAAGGGATTCAATCAGGTTGCCGGTGAGGATTTCTTTGAGCCTTTTAGTCTCGTGGTTAAACCGACTACGATAGTTTATATGCGTCAGCCCCCTGGCTATGAAGACAAAACGATGCCCGGGCACGTTTGTCTCCTTCAACGTTCTTTGTATAGGCTTAAACAAGATCCTCGCGCCTGGCTCACGGGTTTGCGCCACCTTCTGCGCCCAAACTCTGGTGTGATAATATGGGAGCTACTTATCTACGTGTTAATCCGGTGTTTCATGCTCGCACCATTATCATTGAATACAGAAAATATATTCTCATCTAGACTAGGGGCGAGCATAATTACCAAGGTTGCAAAATAGGTTAGGCACCGAACTAGGCGCTAGGCGTCCGATTAATTATTTTTTTTAAAAAAAACTTAAATTAAATTAAAAATTGTAAAATTCACTAATAAAACATAAGGTTTCCATAGTTATTTTATACAAACTATTTATGTAAGTGGTTGTAAAATTGTTCAATATATATTGTTTAAACCATCTAAATACATAAAAAAAATTAAAATTAAGAGCTAAAGAAGCATTTTTTGATAATTTGGTGGGGCAAACCGCCTACGACAACCGAGTCGAAAAAATACGCGATTTAAAAAAAAAAATTGTCCAAATCGAACAACCGAGTAAAATGTTATGTCTCGACAAAGTTTCTAAACTCTAAACCTAAAAATAAAATAAAATAAAAGTTGGCCGGTTCAGCCGGCTAGGCAGTATGGGCGGCGCTTAGGCGCGATTTTTACAACATTGATAATTACCGAAAAATCGACGAAACCGATAGTTGAAAATCGAACAGACTGATAATTTCCGTTATCGGTTATAAGGCTAAAAAAAATTCCATTATTCGGTAACTCGGTTATTTTTTAATTATGAAGCTTTAATAACCGCGATCACCGAATAACTGATACGATATATATATATATATATATATATATATATATATATATATATATATATATATATATATATATATATATATATATATATATATATATATATATATAATATGGAACGAAAATAATATATAAAAAATAAATGGTTAGATCGTTGCATTTTAATTTAAAATGGAACGGAAACTAAAATTAGACAGAAATATTTTAATAATAATATTCTACATCATAAATAGTAAATGCATATTTTAAACAATAGTAAAGGTAAATTAAAAATGGAACGGAAATATTTCAATAATAATATTATACATCATCAATTAAAAATGGAACGGAAATTAAGTAAAAATATCACTACATATATATGATATTCTAATTGACTAAAAATAAAAAAAGAATAGTTGGCTAAAAATGAATCTGATATTACTAATTGACTTAAAATATAAAAGGATCACTAATTGACTAATATTCTACCATTATATATTTTCACCTGAGTCACCCATTCTGATGGACTGAAGGTGTTAGCTCTAGACGATGATGAACAAGATTGTGTTGCTATTACCAATGTCGTCTACAAAGAGGTTTCAATAATGTGTAATACAATCGATGATATTATGTTTTCTTAAATGACAAAATTGCAATATATCTAGACAAAAAAATATATCTTCCATACAAATGAATTAAGATAGCAATTCATTCTTATAACTGAGTTGCTAGAAAACGAGCACATTTGCCTAATTTATAAAAAAATAATGAAATATATAAAATCTCCAAAGTTACAGCACCGCATGCATACATCTACACATTAGCTATTAATTTGAGTAATTATTTGCTCAAATTCAAGCAATGATAACATCAAAACACATAAATGATCCAAACCACACTTCAATTGCACTATATAATATTTGATGTTCTAATTTAAATAATTATATATCAATCCAAATATTCTTAATATATTACAACAAATCTAGCTATTCTGTGCAATGCACAAGCGAAAATACTAGTTATAGTAGTAACATAATAACGTAATAGGATTGCCAGCATATTGGAGATGATTTAATAATAATAATTATTATTTTTATTTTTATTATTATTAAGATAAGTTTATTTATTATTAAGATAAGTAATTATGGAGAGGATCTCCAGCATATTTTCTGTCATAATAATATTTTTGTAATCAATTAACTGTATCATATTTTATTCCAAAATAATATTTTCGTAATCAATTAACTGTCATAAATTTTGGAAATAAAAATTAGATACTAAATAAATTAGCAATGATTTTAAGTAAAATAATTATGAGTCAAAGTCCTGTAATACTTTTTGGAAATCAAAATTGGAGACTAACAAAGTTTGACAAATATGTCCCTAAGTTTTGGGGGAGAAATCATATATATATATATATATATATATATATATATATATATATATATATATATATATAGAGAGAGAGAGAGAGAGAGAGAGAGAGATTGCCAGCATATTGGAGATGATTTAATAATAATAATAATAATAATAATAATAATAATTATTATTATTATTATTATTATTATTATTATTATTAAGGTAAGTAATTATGGAGAGGATTGACAGCATATTTTATTCTAAAATAATATTTTCGTAATTAATAGGTAAGTAATTATGGAGATGATCGCCAACATATTTTCTTTGTCAAAATAATATTTTCGTAATCAATTAACCGTCATAAATTTTGGAAATAAAATTGGATACTAAATAAATTAACAATGATTTTAAGTAAAATAATTATGAGTCAAAGTTTTGTAATACTTTTTGGAAATCAAAATTGGAGACTAACAAAGTTTGACAAATATGCCCTTAAGTTTTGGGAGAAAACCTTTCCAATCACTTCTATTATTATTATTTTGAATGCTACTGACTCTATTACAATGTAGTATCTGTTCATAACTACTTTCTCAACCTATTGAAGCACAAAGAGCCAATAACGCTTCCATTGAGGCTCGAACTCACAACCTTCATATGGAGTCCAATCCGGGTGCCACTTCTATTATATATATATATATATATATATATATATATATATATATATATATATATATATATATATATATATATATATACACACACACACACACATACACATATATATAGAGAGAGAGAGATTGCCAGCATATTGGAGATGATTTAATAATAATAATAATAATAATAATAATAATAATAATAATTATTATTATTATTATTATTATTATTATTAAGGTAAGTAATTATGGAGATGATTGACAACATATTTTATATTAAAATAATATTTTCGTAATTAATAGGTAAGTAATTATGGAGATGATCGCTAACATATTTTCTTTGTCAAAATAATATTTTTGTAATCAATTAACTGTATCATATTTTATTCCAAAATAATATTTCCGTAATCAATTAACCGTCATAAATTTTGGAAATAAAAATTGGATACTAAATAAATTATCAATGATTTTAAGTAAAATAATTATGAGTCAAAGTTCTGTAATACTTTTTGAAAATCAAAATTGGAGACTAATAAACTTTGACAAATATGCCTCAAAATTTTGGGGGGAAAATCTTTCCAGACACTTCTATCTATTATTAGATAGATAGATAGATAGATAGAAAGATATATAAATATATAGATAGATAGATAGATATATAGATATAGATAGATGGGACGAGTGCAGTAAAACGCAAAGCTTTTAAATATTTCTTAATAAGTATTAGGGTTTTTAGGTGCATTAAAAAAACATGTCATGATCCATGTTTTTTTTTAGGATAAAAATATAAAAATTAATCAATGTTGAAAAATTATAGACCATCAACTATAAATTATTTCAACCATTAGTTTTTAAGAGGATAAATCTTATATAAATTGCACCCGTTTTCCCCTTCAATGATCATATCAGCATATTTGGAAGTTTCTTTGAATAAGATTTTTGGAGTTTTACTCCATTTATCTATCCTAAATATTACTCCGTATCTAGGATTAGAGTTTAATCTTATTTTAAGACAAGATGCTGATTCGTCATCATTTCTCTTTATGTTTCATTCTCTTGTTCGGCATTTCCATTAGCAGCTTAGCTCAAGGTTTGCCTTTCCTTTCTTTTATATCTTTTTTTTTTTATTTAACTGACTCCAACTTACCAGGACTATGTGGTCTAATGGTACCCGGGTTGGACTTCCATTTGAAAGATTATGAGTTCGAGCCTCAGTGGAGGTGTTATTGGTTGTGTTTCAATAGGTTGAGAAAGTATATGAACAGATACTACAATGTAATAGAACCAGTAGCAAAAAAAAACTGACTCCAACTTGGCGCATTTTGTACTTGGTATTGAGCATATATATATATAAATATAAATGTACAATTTAATTAGAGTTAATTTCACCAGAGATCCATTATTTTTTGTGGCAATTCTAAATTTAGTCCTACATTGTCGTTTTTGTCATTTAACATTTCAGACTATTTTTTTTGGACATTTTTAGTCATTCACTCAGGATTTTTTCTATTTTTAGTAAGGGTATTTTTGTCTTTTTATATTTTTCTTTTGATTATTTTTTAGGTTTCAACCAGTTTAGAACTTTAGGTAACCTCTAATTTTTAGTAACCATATATTTTCAACCGGTTTTTAGTAAAGTTCTAAACCAAATAAACCGATTGAAACTAGAAAAATAACAAATGAAAACTATGAAAAGACAAAAATGCCCTTATTAAAAATAGAAAAAAAAAGACTAAAAGTGTCTAAAAAATAATAGTCGTGTTAAATGGCAAAAACGATAGTTTTTGACTAAATTTAGAATTGACACCAAAGACAAGGAACCTTTGGTGGAATTAACCCATTTAATTATCAGTTTTTTTAGTTGAGATGAGACACTCACACATACTTCAATTTAGTATTAGAGTTAACCATACCAATGGTTGGTCCACGTGTTGCTTGATTTTTTTTTTTTTCTCACTTCATTTGAATTTGTCTTATTTGGCAATGCAGATTTAGTCTACGATTCGTCTGCTACCACAGAGGTAACTACATTCATATAATATAAATCTTGAATATTTCCAAACATATATATTTTTTCTCTTTTAATATTTTCTGTGAAAATATAGTGCAAGCCAAGGCCTTTTAAGCCACTTTATGGTGGTGGACTTCTGAAGGGTCAGAAGCCTAGCTACGAACCTATCCAAATTAAGAAATGGGTGACAATTACTGCACCTTCATTCACATTGCCTAATCTTGTACCTGGTGTTTATTATAGTTTTTCCAGTTAAGTTACTTTTTTTTTATTAAATTAATTATTTGTGATTTTCATAAATTATTTATACTAGTAATTATATTCTCGTGTAATTTTTGCTTCTACCTATATATATATATAGGTTGGGTGAAGATTATGGGTGCTGAATCTGCACTTATATGGGCAAATCTTGGCTCACAAAAGAATTGTGAAGCCACTGTCCTTGCTAAGAGAGGATGTTGGACCTTTCTTAAGGGTGGAATTTTCTTAACTCAACCTTTAAATACATCTACATTGTATTTCGAGGTAATTAAACTTTTTAAGAATTAAGGGATAAAAAGTGCGATTGTGATTTATTTTTATTATTATTGTTTTTTTTTTTTTTTTTTTTTTTTTTTTTTTTTTTTTTTTTTTTTTTTTTTTTTTTTTTACATATGCATGTTAATTAGCTTATCTGTTTTTGTAATTTGTAGGCATTTGGTGGTACCAAGGGTATCAACATAGATGTTGCTTCTGCTTCTTTGCAGCCATTCACTGAGGAGCAATGGAGGGCAAATCAGCAAGCCATTATCAATAGGGTGGGTGATGAAGTTTTTACTTGTTGCTAAATATAAGAGATAATACTCAATTTAATACTCGATTATAGTGATTTTTCTTGATAAAGTGCTTTTGTGTTTATAAATTGAGTTTGGACTTCGATGATGATTTTACCTAATTTAGTCATTGGCAAGTTAGGTATTAACTGCACTATAGTGAAAGACTAAGGGCGTGTTTGGTTCATACATGGGAATCGGAATCGAATGGGTATCAAATACTTGGTAATGGTAATGGGTTTTGGTGAAAGTATTTAACATGTTTGTTAGTAGGGTGGAATGTGAATGGTTTGGTAACTAATAGTAGTGCTTGAGAATGAATAAGGGAATGAAACTCTTATTTTATTTAGGTATGAATTTTTCAAATTGATGGGGTATTTGAAACCTATAATAGTGTTCTAAAAACCTATCAACCAAACAATAATAATCACTTCCATACCCATTCCTATGGGCAAAACCCATCAACCAAACACACACCCTAAATTAAATTGGGTATTAACTACTATAGTTGAGGATTAAATTGACTAACCGCTATAGTTGAGGACTAAATTAAGTATTAATAAATTAAAAATTATCAAATTATACTAATTAACAGATGACTCAATTCATCCAAGTCTAAGGCACCATAAGCACAAAAAAAAAAAAAATAAAAAATTAAGATTTAAATCGGAGAAAAATCATTATATTAACCTCTAATAAATATAATGATGGAAAGTGATGAGTTAATATATTTTACTTGGTGCAGGAAAGAAAACGTGACACTACAATCACGGTGACGGACCAAAAAGGCATCCCGTTACGAGGTGCAAAGGTTAAAGTGGAGCAAATTTCAAGTGGTTTCCCCTTTGGAGTAGCCATATCCAGCATGATTACCCAAAATTCACACTACCAGGTTGTTTTCTCGTCTTACAAGTTTCTTATTCTTTTTTCAAATACTGCCTACTAAACCGATCTTACAAATTTCTTGAATAATTTAGGAGTGGTTCAAGAAAAGGTTCACCGCGACAGTTTTTGAAAACGAACTAAAATGGCCTTCAAATGAACCCCGTCCTGGAGTTCTAAAATACAATATATCGGACCAAATGGTAGATTTTGTGACGAAAAATAAAATAATGACCCGAGGCCACAACGTGGTGTGGCAGGACCCCACTTTTGTACCGTCATGGGCTCGCAATCTAACCCGCCCAGACCTGCAACAGGCCGTGGACCGTAGGATCAACAGTGTGGTTGATAGGTACAAAAACAAATTCATCCATTGGGACGTGAACAATGAGTTGATACACTACGATTTTTACGAAAGAAAATTGGAGAATCCAAACGCGTCCTTGGATTTCTACAAGAAGGTGCAAGAGATAGACCCCAATGCTACATTGTTCATAAATGATTTCAAGGTGGTAGAACAATGTGGTAACACAACAAATGTGGATTCATTTGTGTCCAAGATCAAGGAATTCCAAGCAAAGGGGATAGCAAAACCAGGAATTGGGTTGGAAGGACATTTTGATATCCCTAATCCACCTTTCATGAGAGCAGTGATGGATAAACTTGTCACCCTTAAGGTCCCAATTTGGCTCACCGAGGTTGACATAAGTGCTAAATATTCCAAGGAAGAGCAAGCAATGTACTTGGAGAAAGTATTAAGGGAAGGGTTCTCACATCCCGCTATAAATGGTATAATTATTTGGGCAGGTATCACTCCTAAAGGGTGTTGGAACATGTGTCTCACTGATCTGGAGTTCAACAATACAGTTGTGGGGGATGTCGTTGATAAGTTGCTTAAAGAGTGACGGACCGGAACATTGACTGACTTAACGAATAACCAAGGCTCTTTTGAGTTTTCGGGATTTTTAGGAAAGTACAATGTTACAGTTGAAAATGGTTCGAATATTTTTAAGGCTACATATTCCCTCTCCAAAGGGGCCGGTCGTCAACAGATCAAAATCCAAATGTAATACAATCATGTACTACTATTAGTTGGCTGCAAATTTATAAAGGAATGAAACATGCTCTAATTTGATCAAATTATGGACTTAATACATTCTGTATGTTTCAATTTTTCTTGAATGGAAGAAAATGGAAACCGCCAAGCTAGGATGACTAGCTTGTTTAATTTGTTGGCAAACGAATGGCATATTGAATTACTTCCATGTGCAACTTCTTAAAAAGAACATCTAAAGTGTATGTGTGTAAATAATAAGGAATTATTGCATGGGATCTACACGAGTAATTTACTAAATTGCCATTTGTATTCAAATTTGAGGAGGAAATTGGTGCCATGAATTAATTTGTGGAGTGATATTAAATCGTAAATATTAATTAGTTGCTTGGCAGAGAATTTATATTCAAGTTGGAAAAGGATTTGAATTAAAATACTAATTTAAATTTTGAAGAGGATTTGAATACTAATTCGATTAATTTGTACTAATAAAGGATTTAACAGATCAATTAAAGGTCCCTTTTGCCTTTCATTTTAACACCTACTTAACACTAAACGGAGGATATTTTGACTTAAAATTCAATAGTCGGATAACCACTTTGGGTACAATGAAAAATGAATGAATCAATTTGAGAAAAGGTCATAGTCGGAGAACTATTTTGGAAATTAACTCTGTTACTAATTTAATTTGTACAAATTTAACAATACTGATAGTGGATTTAAATACTAGTTGGAAGAGGATTTGAAATGCGATAAATTAATTGTGGAAGTTAATTCGTAAATAATAATTTGAACTTCTAAAAAAATTAATTTATGCTCTTTGAATTTTACGAAATTGCACGTGTGAGGTATAGATTAATTGCAATATTTACTAATCTAATTTCAAATCCTTTTCTAACTCCTCTAATTTTGAAATTTTGCAAATTAATTCATGATTATATTTTTTTTTGAAAGGAATTCATGATTTAATATGGTACTAATTTAATTGGTATTATAGTCGGCGTGAAGGGGATGAAAAAGGTTTGAAAAAAAACTTCTACGATTACTAATAGAACTAAACGAATTGCATACCAATGGTTCCTCAAACTTCTTTTTTTTTTTTTTTTTTTTTTTTTTTTTTTTTTTTTTTTTTTTAATGATTTGGCATCTTATTTTGAGAAATAACATTGTATTTCTGTTTGTTTTTCTGTACTTTTTTTTTTTGAAATTTTATTTTCCTGTACTTAAAAAATACTAGATAAATACGGAGTATACAATTATTGTTTGTATGTTTTTTTTGGTGCTGATGAAACTGTCTGTACTCTAAAATGTATCATGCTTGACTCAACAGATATACATATTGCATACAGTATATTCCCACATCAATCAAAATACAAATTGCATATGAACACTTAACATATATAATTACGGTATTTCTCAGAATACAATTATGTAAGACAAACGTAATTTGATCAATTAGAAATGTTAGAGAAAGTAAGCATACCGTTCACCGAAGGCTGATAACATATTGTGATAAGAATACTCATTAGCTCGTATACAATAGATCAAAGAGAAATTACAAAGAGAAAGAGTAGGTGAAAGATAAAATATAAGAAAGTACGTATATGAATGTTCCTCTCTTACCTCCTTCATTCTCATATATATATATATATATATATATATATATATATATATATATATATATATATATATATTTGGTAATTAATAAATGCAATAATAAGTAATGATAATAATGTCTATTTTTTGTGGTGAGGATTTTTTTTTTTTCTTTTTTTTTTTGTGTAAATGCTACTGGTTCTATTACAACGCCTCCACTAAGACTCAAACTCACAATCTTCTAAATGGAAGTTCAACCCAGGTATCATTAGACCACATAGTCTTGGTGAGGATATAATAATGTCTATAATAACTATAACATGTATAACAAATAATGTCACTTTCTTTTATCTAAACAGTCAAATTTTAAACTATATATACAATTGCATTTAAAAATTAGTCGTTCTAATTATACTTTTGATTTTTTTTAAGGATTGGAGGAGTGCGGTAAAACGTAAAGTTTTTAAATATTTCTTAAGTATTTGGGTTTTTAGGTGCATAAGACGATTTGCCTTGAAAGAAATGCATTAAAAAAAACGTGTGATGATCCATGTTTTTAGAGGATAAAAATATAAAAATTAAACAGTGTTGAAAAATTATAAACCATCAAGAAACTATAAATTATTTCAACCATTAGTTAATATAGTTTTGAGAGGATAAATCTTATATAAATTGCACCCATTTTTCCCTTCAATGATCATATCAGCATATTTGGAAGTGTCTTTGAATAACATTTTTGGAGTTTTACTCCAATTATCTGTCCTAAATATTATTTAGGATTAGGGTTTAATCTTATTTTAAGAGAAGATGATGATTCGTCATCATTTCTCTTTATGTTTCGTTCTCTTGTTTAGCATTTCCAGTAGCAGCCTAGCTCAAGGTTTGTCTTTCTTTTATATATCTTTTTATTTATTTAATCGACTCCAACTTGGGGCCTTTTGTACTTGGTGTTGAGCATATAATATATAAATATAAATGTGCAATCTAATTATCAATTTAGCCAGTTGAGATGCGAATTTAATATTAGAGCCAACCATGCTAATGATTGGTCCATGTGTTGCTTCGAGCATTTTTTAGGTTATACCGAATGCAATTTTTTTTTTTTCCTTTCGCTTCATTTGAATTTGTCTTATTTGGCAATTAATGCAGATTTAATTTACGATTCCTCTACTACCTCAGAGGTAACTACATTCATATAATATAAATCTTGAATATTTTCAAACATATATATATTTTGTCTTTTAATAATTTTGGTTAAAATACAGTACAAGCCAAGGCCTTATAAGCCACTTTATGGTGGAGGACTTCTGAAGGGCCAGAAGCCTAGCTACAAACCTATCCCAATTAACATATCCAGCATGATTACCGAAAATTCACAGTCCCAGGTTGTTTTGTTTTCTTACAAGTTTCTTGAATTTGATCGCGATTGTTCTACTTATTAATGTTCATAATTGGCTTGTGTTTTAATTTAGCAGTGGTTCAAGAAAAGGTCCAATGCAACGGTTTTTGAAAACGTTCTAAAATGGCCTTCAAATGAGCCCCTCCCTGGAGTTCCAAATTACAATATATCGGACCAAATGGTAGATTTTGTGACGAAAAACAAAATAAAGACCGGAGGACACATCGTACTGTGGCAAGACCCCAATTTCGCACCATCATGGACTTGCAATCTAACCCGCCCAGAGGTTGATAGGTACAAAAACAAATTAATACATTGGGACGTGAAGAATGAGTTGGTACACTACGATTTCTACGAAAGAAAATTGGAGAATTCAAACGCGTCCTTAAATATCTATAAAAAGGTGCAAGAGAAAGACCCCAATGCTACGTTGTTCATAAATGATTTCAAGGTGGTGGAGCAATGTGGTAACACAACCAAGGGACATTCTGATATTCATAATCCACCTTACATTTTGATGTTCCTATTAAGGATTATATTTTTTCTATTGTTTTAGTTTTATTCTCTATTAGAGTGGGTCTTCTTTGTTGTATCCTGCAATATCTCTTTGTTGTACCTATATATGCTTCTGCACTTAATTTAATGCTTAATACAAAAGTACATACTTTCCTTTCATATGGTATCAGAGCTTAAAATACTCTTACGAGAATTTTTTTTTCCTCCTCTTTGATCCAAGGGAGATTACAGCTGGTATTGCTATCATTCCAATTGTGTGCTTCTACTCACTTTCCAATTCGTCTCACTATGGTTAACTTTTTGGTATGGCGTCAGCAGATTTACTCCATTCTCATTGGATTTGGACTGTTAGGCTATATTGATATCATATAAAAGGAACCAGATGTGTTCCTTGACATTGCACATGGAATTTCTCGCTTCACTGGCACTGCAGAGCGTCGTCACTCCCGGCTACATTGTGCATCTCTTTTTTTTTGAAATTTTTGGTCTATCACGGCTACATTGTCAAACAGCTACTTATTTAATAAACAAGCCTCCGGCTTATTTATTAATAAACAGGCTTCCAATTCCAATCCTCAACAATAAAAATGGCCAAATTACAAACGTTTGAAGAGTTTTTGATGCCCCTTTGTTTTTTATGGCTACGTCTTTATATGCACACAAAGTTATAACCCAGGTTCATTCACTTTGTCTTTCTAGGTTACTCCACCCCTCAATCGATCCAAACAAAAATAGGATATATATTTTTAGGCATGTGAAATATGTTGAGACTAACTTTCCTTATTAAGTCACCACCTCAGCCAGACTCCTGACTCAAATGCTTATCCGTATAATCACAACCCTACCTATACAACCCCAAACTCTCCCCACAATATCCATTTCATCCCAACTCTCCCCACAATATCCATTTCATCCCCCTACAATTCTGTATCTACTCCCCAAGTGGTCCGCTACAGCCTATCCATTTCATCCCAACTCTCCCCACAATATCCATTTCATCCCCCTACAATTCTGTATCTACTCCCCCAGTGGTCCGCTACAGCCTGGCCAGTGGTCCGCTACAGCCTGGTCCGCTACAGCCTGGCCAGTGGTCCGCTACAGCCTGGTCCGCTACAGCCTATCCATTTCATCCCAACTCTCCCCACAATATCCATTTCATCCCCCTACAATTCTGTATCTACTCCCCCAGTGGTCCGCTACAGCCTGTAAGTCTGTTCAGAATCATCTCGTGCCAACTATGTTAATACTCCCTCGGTGTCGGATGTGTGTCTCCATCCTCTCCTGAGCAAATCTCTCCAGCTAATGATATGCCCTCCGCCTAGCCTAAAAAAACTCGTCGAGAATCATTCCGTGCCAGCTCTGTTAATACTCCCTCGGTGTCGGATGTTGCAACTTCATCTCCAACACCCATTCCGGCGACATCTCCTCCAAAGCATACTCGCAAGCCTAATCCAAAGTATTACAATGACAAGTTTGTCAATGTAACCACCACTCATCCTTTGCTCGATTCTCTTGAACTGTCTACAGTTGCTCAGGCGATGACCACCACTCCACTCATCCTTTGCCCGCTTCTCTTGAACCATCTAAAGTTCTAATCCAAAGTATTACAATGACAAGTTTGTCAATGTAACCACCACTCATCCTTTGCCCGCTTCTCTTGAACCGTCTACATTTGCTCAAGCGACGACCACCACTCCACTCATCCTTTGCCTGCTTCTCTTGAACCATCTAAAGTTGCTCAGACGCTTCTCTTGAACCATCTAAAGTTGCTCAGGCTTTGCGGGATCCGCATAACATTATGGATAGTGAGTACCATGCTCTCCAGAGAAATAATACTTGGATTTTGGGACATAAAGAGTCAATACCGCCCCCTGAGGCTTGAACCCATGACGTCCATATGGGAGAGCCACTAGACCACAAGGTTAAGATAAATTTATTGGTTTTTATTCATGAGGAAAAATGTAATACTTATGAGGAAAAAATAGTTGTTATATATGAAGTGTAATATTTATGTAGAAAGTGTGATACTTTTGAGGAAAAATGTACTTTTAAACAAAAATGTACTTCCCTTGTCAAATTTTACTTATCTTGCTTTCTTTATTGCTTTTAGGAATAAGGGTCAAATAGGCTACCGAACAGCACACGATAATGCAATTAGGCCACTGAACCTAAAAAAAACTACAACGGAATCCATAAACTAACCCATTTCACGCAATTCGTCTAATTTATCAGTTTTCCCAATTTCTAACAGGTCACCACTTTTAAAATATTTTTTTATTGAAAATTTTTTTAAAAAAAAACAAAAAACCTTTGTCTCCGGCCATGGAGACGAAGATACCTTTTAAACAATAATTTTTAAATCTAAAAGCACTAATCCAAACTTAAAACTCATATCATATTACCAATAAGATGGAATGATACATTTTTAATTAGGGAATGTGATTTTTAATTGAAGGGGTAATCAAATCTCATAGTTGTGTTATAAAAAGTTATCAACCAAACGCTAACTATGATTTTGATTCCCATTTCTAGTGTGTAAACCCATTAACCAAACACGCCCTTAAAGTGCATAAATTTGCACCTTCAGGTGCATATAACTTTGCATTTTGAGCATACGTTTAAACTATAATGTGCATAACTTGGAAACTCCATGTGCATAAATTTGCACCTTAAGGTGGATTTTGCAGCATAAGGTGCATGACTTTGCACCTTAAGGTGCACACCTTTAACTGTAAGGTGCAAAACTGTATAAGTTAAAGTGCATAAATTTAAAACTTCAGGTGCATAAAGTTGAAAATTAATGTTTATAACTTTGCACTATAATGATCATACCTTTAAATTGTAAGGTGCATAACTTAAAAACTCCAAGTGCATAAATTTGCACCATAAGGTGCATAAAGTTGCACAACTTTGAAGTTGATACACGCATAGTCGATTCTTTTATGCCTGAGCTCTTAAGCTTCTTCCCGCCTATGAGTGATTAATTGATGTGTTGAAGATGCAAAGATAACATGGAGTAGTGGAGAAGATGTTGCAGCTTAGTTTTTTTTTTTTTTAGTTTTTAGTTTTTACTTTTATACCCCTCAATGTGTGAATTCGAATATAATCAACCACGGATTAAAAATTTCAATCAACGGTTGAAATCAATTGATAAATATCAAATGAATGGTTGGGATTGATACGCACGCTTCACTTGGAGATGTTGCGTATATGATCCCTTGGGTGTGTGTATAAAATTAGTTATGAATAAACAACTAATTTATCATATACATTTCTACAAATAACTAATGGTCAAAATAATTAACACAATCAACTTTCAACTCATTGCCAAACATCTCTCATGAATCATTGTACTTATACACATTTTTGCTATTCAAATGTTTTTTTTTTTTTTTTTTTTTTTTTTTTTTGGTGCATTTGTGCTGTTTGATCTTGAGTTTCATTGGAAATCATTCTTCCTCATGCTAGACCATTGTGCATTGAGGTAGAGTTTGTGATAGGGAATCAATGACTAAGATTTTTTCAAAATTCAAATTTAAAAGATGAATAATGATAATTGGGAATATTGTAAAAAATGCCCATCTATTATGCCAATTATCAATGTCACCCCTGAATTATGAGTGGTGTAAATGTTGCCCCTCAATTATCAAAACGGTGCACATATAGCCCTCCCGTAATGGACATGTGGTTCCCCATTAGTGTGCGACACCGTTAAGTCGGAATAAATATGTAATTTAGTTGTTTTTCCCTCCCTCGATTCGAAGTACCAGCGATGGATAGCGGTGGGGAACCACAGGTCCGTTACGGGAGGGGCTATATGTGCACCATTTTGATAATTGAGGGGCAACATTTACACCACTTATAATTCAGGGGTGAATTGATAATTGATATCTTATAGAGGGGCATTTTTTACAATTTTCTCATGATAATTTATAAGAAAAAGAGAGTAATTTTAAAAAAATTTAAAATGAAATCATAGTCTAATCAAGATATAACATTTAGCTAACGGTGAAAGAGATAGTAGTTGTTGTCTCTCATCTCTATTTCAATGTGCTAAAATTTAATACAGAAACATCAAAACGGTAACATCAAAGTGATAGCTACCTTCTTTCACTTTCATCCCAAGCCTCTAATCTCTTAAGTCAATTACTTGAAGACCTTAAAAATTGAAAATGAAATCAGAATCTATATGAAGATGTAATATGTAATCAACGGTGAAAGTGGTAGTTGTTATTAAGGTAACATCCCATAGTGTTGTGCTCATTTATGCAAGTCTTTTATTGTCATTCTAAATATAGAGGAAGAATCAAAGATTAGGCATGGGCTGGGTAACCCAATCAAGATGACTAAAGATACAGACTTGTAATCATCAGGCCATGAGTGAATTCTAATCCTCTTGGTTTGAACCGGTTAACTATGAACAATTTAAACTAGTTTATCATCCTGACTAGGATCAAGACTATGTTTGGGATTATGCCTAAAGTTCTTGTGTCCATCAACATTTGACCACTGAATTACTATAATTTACCCAATCTCCTTCTAAATGTTTTGTTCGATCGAGGTTGGGGATTCAACCTGTTTGGAAAAAAAAAAGATTATGCTAGTTTATCTCATTGTGATTATTTGCCAACTAGGATCAAGATGGTGTTTAAGATTATGCTTAAAGTGGGCATTGTGTACACTAACATTTAATCATATCTGCTGAATCACTGAATTATCGATTTATATCTGATTGAGATTGGGGATTTAACCTGTTTGGGAAAAAAAAAGATTAGACATGTGCTGATCTGAGTTAACTTTTCGAGTCAGAAAAACGTGTTTTCAGGAAAACACGAGGGAGATAAATCATAAATACACGATTTATGGTAGTAACAGCCTGTATTCCACTGCTATCTCACCATTTCCATACAAGCAACCATTGAGAACGCGCCGCAGCGATTGTTTCCTTTTCCGCTCGGGTCGCCGCCGCTCTTAAAATCATGCACAATTTCCCCCAACCCGGGGCGGCATTGGGTTTTCGCCTTTCAGGTTGAGCTCCACAACCCCTTCTCAGCCGTATCCACCGCCATGAATTGCTGTGAAAATGCCGTGGGTCGGGTCGTCTGCCCCATGCCCCGCCGCCCCAATGCCCACTCCACTCATACCCTCGTTTTCCCGATGAGGTATTTTAATTTAATTATTCCCCGCCTATTGTTAATATTTGTGTTCGGATTTTGATCCTACAATTTTCAGTTTTGTGTTTCTTATTTTCCCTGTAAGAACAGTAATTCCAGTGAGGGGATTGATTCGAAAACCGACGCCAGTCTTGTTGATCTCATTCTGAAGAAGGTACATTTTGTGTATAATGTGCATATTTATGTTTAATGTATGCATATTGTTTTGGTGATATGTGTATATGTTTCTGGAGATGATTTATATGCCCTGATTTGTATTCTATTGCAGCTGGAATAGGCCTATTCCGTTGTTTGTTAATGCTTTTAAAACATATTCAATTTCTATTTCTTAAACCAATCAAACACTGGAATAGCCTTTCTAAAGTCCATTATCTTCACTATGGAATAACATTCATATTCTCTTAAAATTCATTTCATGAACCAAACACGATAATGATTTTTTAATATATAGGCATGGGATTTTTTGCTGTACATTGAGAATTTGCAATTTATGCCTAGAGGTGCTCTGTATGAATCTTGTAAAACTGGCTTGCTTATTATTCATCTTTTCCGCGAATCTGCACTTTTTGTTTTCAATACCAGAGAGTCTCATCCACTTGAAACTGCTCAATGTGCAATAGTTTGCTATATCGTCTAGTCTTGTGATTGAATGATATGGATAATGGTTACTATTGATATATGGTCTCTTGGCTTATGATTGTATTTATGGGATGCCTTTGTAAGTGAAGTGAAGATGGACACTAAATGTTACACTGAAATTAGGAAAGGTATAAAACAAAAAACGGTGGGTATTTTGAGCTGCCAAACCCGGAACTCCACTACATTAGTGCAGGAAAATGAAGTAGAAAATGAGAGAGTGATCCTCAACTCCTTGCCTTAGTTCCTTATGTATCGCTTTATACTTTATAGTAGACTCGTTACAGTTTTCATAATTCAATTTGGCTACTCTTTTTTGCGCCTTTATTGGGTTGGTACAATAAATGGCTACGTTAAAAGAGTAACTATTTTTAGAAGAGTTTTGTCCAACTAGAAGTTTAGAAATTGGATTACACTAAATGGAATTAACTTCTTGCTATGGATAAATTCAGGTGCTCTCTATTTCGTTTGCTTATATCAAACACACTGTCATACCAAATATAAGTTTATGGAATCTTAACAACTTGTATCATGGAACTTGAAAGTTGAATCTCTCGCCATTGTGTTGCTTTAGTGTTTTCCTTAACTAATGTGCACTCCATTGTTGAGGTGAGACGGATCATTAAATCAGATGTTTGTTTATTTAATGAAAATCCGTATAAAAAATGCTCAGAGTTATTCAAGATGTTAATCTTTTCAGATTGATCGGGAATTTGGTTACATAAAATGCATCTTGGCGTTGCATATCTACCTCGTTCCCCCTCTAATGCAGTTTCTGTGTATTGTTGCTAAACAGGACAGTCTAGTTGCAATGCAGTCAATATCCCAATTGTCATCATCACCCCCGTTCTTCTCTGGATCACCACCCTGCAGGACAAATAACCCTGTAATCCATGATACTTGCTTCAGAAACGAGAAACGAGTGGGTACACCAGTACCACAAAGTCCGCCCCTTTCTGGTATAATATCCTCTCCATCATCATCAGCTCGTAAAGCAGCATGCACAAGGGCAATGCTTGGCCAACAACAATCACCGGTTAGAGTAGAAGGCTTCGACTGCCAAAATTCTCGCCTGGCAGGTATAGCTTAGATTTCAGTGGTTGTTAGTGCATCAGAATTAAATCCCAAATTTTGGTGTATATAATCATTGTAATTTTCATTTATAAACAAGTAGTGTGTATATATATCTTCTGTGGATGAAGAAAGTGATATTTTGATTATTTTTCTCCGAACTAGAAAATGTGGAGATATTGAAGGAAGAAGAATATTGAGCATGCAATTCAATAAATTCCTTGAGATTAGACATACACTATCATATCCCTGATTTAATAAGAGGCTGCTATGCATGACATGAGGGAAGTTTAGAAAAATATTAGGCTAACCCAACTACAATGCTTTATTATGTGATGCCACAAAAAAGGTCCACACAGTGGTGTGCACTATGGTCCAAAAATATCATTGTGAATATTGAGTAAAAATAATGTACATTATGTGTTAAAATAATGTACATTACATGTTAGAACCGGTCCAAAAATATCGTTGTGAATATTATGAGTAAAAATAATGTACATTATGTGTTAAAATAATGTACATTACATGTTAGAACAATAAAACATATGTGGTAATATATTGGGAGTCAATTGACTAGGCCTAGTAACACACAACAAATTTCTCAAAGGATCGGAGATCACCCAACATAGGCAATATATATATATAATAGTTAGAGCATCCATATCAGGGGTTATTTGGGGGTTTTTAGAATAGTGGATGATGACATGGTGGAGAGAGTAAAGATTGGGTATCATCTGCAAAGCATGGTTTTTAGAACAGTAACGACGAGCTGGAAAAAAATTCACGCAAAGGGCCACACGGGCGCATGCTGTGCACGCGTCAGGCGCGTCAGTGTGTTTGAATATTATAATTTTTTTTAAAAAAAAATTAGTTTTTTTTTTCTCTCCCCTCCCACATTCTCTTTCCTAATCACACTTACAAAAATTTTTCAAAAACCACAAAATATCCCCACTATTATGGATGCTCTTACAACACTAGTACGGTAAAGATAGCAGGAATGGTGGTAGGAGTTTCACCTCATATCCCCTAAAAGTTCTCATTTTGGATATGACTACTTGATGGGATTTGCTTATAATGTATATTTATGATGTACAAACAAGTTTAATTATGATGGAAGGAATTTATTTGATCATCAAGGCTTTATCAACAATAATGGTTCTTAATAACATAGCTCTTAAAGTAGTAAAGCTTAGGTTCATATGCAGTAGACTGTAGACCTCTACGAGCAGCAAATATTTCTACACAACAAAGGTCTATATACATTACAAGTTTGAAAGTAGTAGAAGTTAATTAAGCAACATAACTAATTATAAAGCAAAAGGGAATGTCTAGCAGCATATGGGGAATCTATATTACTAATTATGAATACTGGCATGCTGATGAAGGAAGATACTTAACTAAACAAGTAAAGTTGCATTGAAAAGTGTAAAAACGCATCGAATTTTAAAGACAAGTAGTTCCACGTAGTGAGTGGATAAAAATCTATACTTGTCAAATTGTGACATAATAAAATATTGATGGTCCCAATTTTAGTATAAGTCTAGAGAGAGGGGGGGTTAGGGGTGGTGATTAATAATAGACTTATAAGTGATTTTGAAAATTCTTTATTATTTTCAATAATATAGAAAGCCTTTTTAAATTAGTTGACTAAATGAGTTAATTGTTCAACAATACCTCTTACAACAAGTTTGGTTCACGGAATACTCCTAGAATGGAATGACGTTCTGAGGAACATGCCTATTTAGCGCACACAAACAATTTTAAGTGTAAAAAAATTATTAAGCAAGAATAAACTCGCTATGAGAGTAAATGCATATCAGTAAATTAAATGATATAGAGATTTATGATGGTTTGAGAATTGTATAATTTCTCTAATCTATTCTTTTTTTTTTCTAGGAGGAAATTTACTAGTAATCTTGTCACCATACAAATTACAAGTAAATCTAAACTCATGTTTTGATCATTAAGTCATCAAAATTTTTCAAGTTTTTCAGACGACTACATTGAATTTCCTACTCCTCTCTTTCTACAATAAGTAGAGATCTACTACAACAAATCAATCAAGTTGATAGTTTCCTCCAACTATGAAGACTAAGAATACTAGATAGAATTTTTGAAGCCTTTAAGAGTCTTTGGACAATATATGCTTGATATAGCTTTAAAAAGATTGTTGAATGAAAGCTTTGAGATCGTATACTTGTTCTTAATTGCGTATTGTACGTCTTGTATTTATTCTTTTAGCATCCATTGCTATTTATACTTGAATTTCAAATTTCTCAATTGAAAAGAGATAAATTCAAATTATGCAACTTGTAATATTTTAATTTGCACGTTTGTATACGTCTTGTTAATGCATGTATCTACCTTAGTCACTCTGTATGTTCATGTATGTTGGCAGCTGATGAATTTCTATTTTATGTCATCATCAGAGTGACATCCTTTATAAAACTATCTTAAAAACCAGAATAATGATTACAATTAAATATAATATTTAAATAAACCAGAATAATGATTACAATTAAATATAATATTTAAATTATTGTGTAACTGATCAAAAATTTATTATATTAACAAATATAATATTTCCAACTCAGGCTGAACCCCAACCCGACAGGGTCTTTGGGAGGATGTAAATCATGGTGACTCAACTGAACATGAACCATAGAGGCTAGACCGGTGCTCACTGCGCACAAGAAGCCCCCCTCACTTTGAGAGGTTGCTCCCACACTGTCGCTGGTGAGACTCAATCCCTGGTCATTATTCCAAAGTTTCACTTTTATGACCAGTTGAGCTACCCATGCGGGCTAATATTTACAACTCTTGGAAACATATTGTGATGTCCTAATACATTCAGGAAAAATATCTCAAAACACTTGCGGAAGATGTCATCTCCCCCGGAAAGACATCGTTTCCTTCCAAAATCCACATTTCGAAAGATATCGCTCCTTTCTGGAATTCTTTCTTAGCTTTCGAAAGAAGCTGGTTCCTTAGCTTCCAGTAGACATTCCCAAATACTTCCGGAAGGTACTGCTTCCATCCAAAAATCCTTCCAGGTAAATTTATCAACATTCTTGATAAATCAAAATATAAAAATCCTACCAAACATATATAAATAATATTCTCAACTTCACAACATTAGAATATTATTTATGCTTCCTGAACTTAGCGTAATTGGTTCGTCACCTCTTAAAGGTCATGACTAGAGGCAACAGTATCAGAGCATGACTCACGATTTACTTTCGCAGTGACTCTCAGAGCGAGGCCGGTGGACTTAGAATCATGAGTTAAAAGAAAAGAAATCATAATTTTCTTATCCGCGGAAAACAAACCGATATAATAATGGAGTACTGATGAAATTCTAAGAAAAAGGCACCAAATTTCTTGATGTTTGATAAACTATGAATTTTGAACTTTATGTAATATTTAATGTTTGATTATTATGTTTTATGTGAGTTATGACTTATGTATCAATTTATTTTATCCTCCACCAGTTTATGTAATATTTTCTTATCCTCCACCAGTTTGATGTTTGATAAACTATGAACTTTGAACTTTATGTAATATTTAATGTTTGATTATTATGTTTTATGTGAGTTATGACTTATGTATCAATTTATTTTAATTAATGAGATGTTTGATGAACAATTTTTTTTTTTTTAAAAAGGGGTTTCGGCGGGGGCCCGCCAAGCCCGGCGAGCCACTGGCGGGGCGGTCCGGGCCTATCAAATCCAGGCCCGTTTAGGAGAGGGTTTTTTAGCCGGCCCCGTTTAGACCCGCGGCCCGTCGGTCTTTGACCCGCCCCGCCCCGCCAGCCCGTATTGACAGCACTATTTAGCGCACACAAACAATTTTAAGTGTACAAAATTATTAAGCAAGAATAAACTCAGTATGAGAGTAAATGCATATCAGTAAATGAGATAGAGATTTATGATGGTTTGAGGATTGTATAGTTTCTCTAATCCATTCTTCTTCTTCTTTTTTTTTTTTTTTTTTTTTTTTCTTACTAGGAGGAAATTTACTAGTAATCTTGTCACCATACAAATTACAAGTAAATCCAAACTCGTGTTTTGATCACTTTTAAAATGACCTAAGAGTATACATATAATAATAATAATAATAATAATAATAATAATAATAATAATAATAATAATAATAATAATAATAATAATTGTTTTAATAATAATTTTTTAAAAATATATAGATGTGTTATGGGGAAATCATTCTCAAAAACGCTAAGCGAAAATATTGTAAATTGCAATGTTTGTATTTTCAGTGGTTTGGAACAAATTGTTGCTTCAAACTCTTGAATAACCATAACACTTTCTTTAGCATTTTGATCTTTGGGTTACATCATATTTACCAATCGTCCAATATCTTTGGGTTACATTATTATTAAAATTTTTAAATTTTTACTACATTTAAATTCCTTAAATTAGGAATTTCTTTATCCAAAATAATTTACTCAACAATAATGGTTGAACTAAATGAACACGGAGCAAAACACCTAAAGAACTGGTACTGATTCATTCATTGATCTTGTATATATGTGCATTCATTAAATATATTAGAACCCTTTGCAACAAAAATACTTGGTTATTATTTAAAAAAAGTTTAGTAACAATTATAATGAATCTCCTATATTATATTGTATTCATATACTATGAATTACATATTTAAATAAACAAATTAGACATTAAATTACTTATGTTGAACTTCTCATATATAATCTTACATTGATATACTTTCAAATATTTATTTAATTATATACATTCGGTATAAAAAAATGACCGTCAAATTATTAAATCAAATGAATAGTTCAGATTGTTCAGATTTTAATTTTTTCTTGATATTTCCTAATTTATCCTTAATTATATTATTATCCGATCCGTTAAATTTTCCATTAAGTACCGTTAATTCACCATTAGTCTAATTCTAATATTAAAGTCTAATATAAAATTATAACTACAACATTAATCTAATTCTAATATTAAAGTCTTAATAGAACTCTAACCACAAATCCTACTGTCGGAATCAACTCAAACAATATTAGTATATTTAATATTTTATGCTTTAATTTTTATTTTCTTTCCCTTATGTCCCGTATTTGGTTTCAACCATACCCATACAATTATTTTATTGAAAATTATAATCAATCTTGAATATATTATCTTGCATTTGTAAACTTAGAATTAACAATTTAAACATGCAAATTCAACATTCAATTATCTATGCATGAACAATTCCAATATAATCTTGCCTTGATATACTTTAAAATACTTATTTAAAAAAAACATTGGGCATTATCTCAATTGCGCAATGCGCGTAAAAAACTAGTATATATAATAAAGATCAAATGCGGAGGAGGTCTCCAGGTAAAACATTCGATTTAATCATAGTCATTGATCGTGCCAAAATCAACCATCTAGAATGAACATAAATTTAAGGGAAAATGGCACTTTTTCCCCCTATGTTATATACTTATAGCACTTTTTCCCCCTCAATTATTTATGTAAGCACATTAGCCCCCTCAATTATTTTAAAAGTGGTGATTTTCCCCCCTAATATATTAAATTGACATTTCTACCCTTAAAGTAAACATTTTATTTATTTTACTTCTCCAACAAATTATTGCGTATATGTAGCGATTACCACGGTTCGGTTCGAACTGAACCAGACACTACAGCAATCGAATTAAAAGTTTTCAGTTATGATTCAGATCTAGAACCCAATATTTGGATTTCAATTTATTAAATTTAAGAATAAAAAAAAAAAAACTGGATCATGAATCGGCGGTTCCGGATCCCATTCGCGATTTTGAACTGTCTATATTTTAAAATTTTATTTTTTATTTTAAAATAGTTTAAATTCAACAATAAATGTATTTTATTTTTTCAGTTCGGAACATGAACCGGCCATTCCAGTTCGCGATTTTAATAAACTCTAAATATCGCGTTTTGATTATAAATTGTAATTGAAATATTTTGGTTTGGTTACTATAGTATCTGGTTTGAACCAAATTATAGTAATAATTTATTGGAGAATAAAAATAAATGAAATATTTATTTTAAGGGTAAATATGTCCATTTAACATTTCAGGGGGGAAAAAGAGCCACTTAAATAATTGAGGGGGAAAAAGTGCTATAAGTATATAACATAGGGGGAAAATGTGCCATTTTCCCTAAATTTTAAAAAAAAAAATAATAATAATAAGGTGGCATTATGGTAATTTTTTGTATTGTTGAAAGTTTAAGGTGCGTATTTTCAAAGCTTAAGATGCGTCATTTTTACACTTAAGGTGGTCATTTTAACACTTTAATTGCGTTAATTCTACACTTGAAAACTTAAGGTGCGTTATTGTTGAATGTTTAGTGTGTACTTTCAAAGCTTAAGGTGTGTCATTTTAACATTTAAGGTTCACCATTTTAACACTTAAGGTTCACCATTTTAACACTTAAGGTGCGTCATTTTAACACTTAAAGTGCGTCAGTTTTACACTTAAGGTGATTCATTTTAACACTTAAGGTGCGTCATTTTAACACTTAAGATGCGTCATTTTAACAGTGAAGGTGCGTCATTTTAACACTTAAGGTGCATCATTGTAACACTTAAATTAGCTTTTGTACTCTCAAAGAACCACGTTTTATTTTTTTAAATTTTCATTGAATCGAATCGTTGATCTAAATTTGATCAACAACTCACATCTCACCCTATATTTCACCTGAGAGACTCTTTGCACTATATATATATATATATATATATATATATATATATATATATATATAAGTCTATTTACTCTACTCAAGATTTGTTCAAAAATTCTTGGCATGAATAACATCAACATCATCATTGTTGTTATTGTTGTTATTATTATTGTTGTTATTGTTATTATCATTATTATTACCATAACGATGATAAATTATGAAATATGAATAACATGGCATGACCCAAAAATGTGAATTCGCTTCCAATGTGTCGGCCAAAAGGGACCTCCAATTTAGTGTCGGCCAAAAGAGAACCTCCAATTTAGTGTCGGCCAAAAGAGAACCTCCAATTTAGTGTCAGCCACTAAGATTCGCTCCTTCATTATGAAATGTGAATAAAATGGCATGACCCAAAAATGTGATTTTCACATCTCCTACATAATTGGCTGCCACATTTCATAGAAGTAAAAATAAAAATAATGAACAATAATTATGTTTGGCTGCTTTCAAAAATAATTAAGTTTGGCTCTTCCAATTACACCAGACAATGCAAGTGGACACCATACAAGAATTTGAGTTTTTGACTGATATGAGCGAATTTCTTGATTTAATGATACAAATGGACAACTTTTAAAACTTGGACAAAAGAATGTAAAAACTTATTTGAGATTTGAGCTTGTGGTAAAAATTAAAATGCAAGTTCTAAATGAGTTTGTTAATTTTTAGAAATTATGTTTTCTTTTTTCAATTTAAATATGAGAAAACTTGCGTTTGTAATCTGCTTGGTTTCCGGCAAGAACAGGTAGACGAAGAGTCAGTGGCGGAGCCACAGTGGGAGCAGCTGCTCCCACTCCCCCACCCCATATATATTGTATATAGGAAAAAGGGTCAAATTGGCCTCCTAATTCGACCGGATAGTGCAATTGGGTGCTCTAACTAAAAAAAGCTCCATTAAGATCGCCTAAACCTGTAAAATTATTCAATTAAGTCCAAAGTGGCTTGTTTAACACGTTAACTCTTCACCTAGGCCCATCTACTATTACGGAGTGTTCAATTCCCACCACGAACTAAATTAAAGTCTAATCAGCCACACTTACCAGTTAAATTTTTTTTATTGACCTTTTTTTACAGGTTGCAAACAGGTTGCCTATTCAATTATTAAAAAAATAAATAAATAAAAATAAAACAAATAAAAAATGTATGATTGTCGGCCATATAGAAGCCTTCTTCGTTGCTGACAGATGAGCCTTGCAGCGTGTAGAACGCAGTGTCCCGGCTCTCTTCGTCGGATGACGTCATCGCCAGTGGGGAATTTATATCGAGCGGCGGCGGCTTGCTCAATGGCGAGAGTGGCTGCAGGCCAGGGCTCGGCCTATACCGATCGGATTTTAAGTTCCTGTAAGGCGAGCGGTTTGCCCAGTTGTTCTCACTTACCGGAAGGCCCGGCTCGACCGTTCCGATGTACAAAAAATTCGCCGGCGGCGGCATTCTTGATTTCTCGTTGATTCTCCGGGAACTGCGGTTGACTAGCTTCTAGGTTTCGTCCCGGTGTTTCCGGCGATGCTTGTAGATGTAAAACGCCAACACAGAAAACATTCCCAGCGTGACAATCCCGACAGAAATCGCAATGGCCATTTTCTTGACCGGCCGGGATTGCTGCGGCAAAACCGGGTTCGACTGCACCGATGAACGGTTGGGCTGAACCGATGCGGACGGGCTCTGATTAGGCTTTTCCAGGAAGAATGGCGGGTCTGGGGTAGATAATGCGGGACTTTTCGGCGGAGTTAATTCTAGCATTAGTCCTCCGACAATCATGATTTTCCATAATTGGTCCTCGACTTTCAATTTGGACAATTTAGACACTTGACTATCAAAAAGTTTTCAATGTTGATCCTTCCGTCCCAAGCTAGTTAAGTAGACGTTAAAATGAGGGCTAAAACGGTCTTTTAACATGCTCTTCGTATAATACGCCCTTCTCCTCCATATACACCATTAAAATCAAAATAACTCCTTTTTCTATTAACCCGTAGGCCGTAGCCATGGCTGACATCTTCCTTCTCCTCCATCCATGAAAATCTGTACGTGTACTCATGTAGTTCAATAGTTGACTCAAAGGAATACCGTGATGATGATGAGAAGAGGTTTGCGGACATTGACATCGCTGAGAGGGAGCTTCAGCTTCGTTTCCACGCCGCTGATTTACCGTAGCTTCTCCACGAAGTCGTCGTCGATGTCTTCACCGGTGTCCAATGCCTGATATGATTCCGACTATACTTCAACCTGGCGTTGTCGTTTATGATGGCGTTTGCCATCTCTATCACAAAGGTATGAAGTGGGTGATTCGGGCAAACAAGGATAGAAAAATTAAGTTTTGTTGCCTTCATTCAAAAGCTGTTGAACCATACATGAGTCTATGTGGTATTGATCAAAATGATGTTCTTCGTTGCTTCTTGTTTATTGAAGGCCCAGGTCTATACTATCAAGGCTCTAGTGCTGCACTGAAGGTTTTGTCCCACCTGCTATTGCCTTACTCTATCCTAAGCACTTTCATGATTATCCCCCCACCTTTAAGGAATGATGTCTATGACTATATTACAAAGAGACGCTATCACTGGTTTGGAAAAGATGATGACTGCTTGGTCCTGCAGGAGAAAGAGTTGCTAGAGCGTTTCATTGACGCAGAAGAATTTCTGAACGTCGCCAATCAGATTCTTGAATAGCACAAGATAATGAGGCTTGTTTGTTTGTTTTTTTTTTTCCTAAAACTGTTAAATTAGCTCACAGTTTTGCAATTAGAAAGCCTCATAGTTCATCCACAGACTAGAAGACATCTTGTTAGCCTTGTTTCCACATTTTGGCCACATCATTATTATTACTTCCGAATGGATTCGCCCGATTACCGAATACAACCCGATTGTACTGAACTATACCTCCGGCACCACCTCTGCTCCCAAGGGGGTGGTTCATTGCCATAGATAAATCTTCATTATCTCCTTGGATTCCCTAATAGAATGGTCCATTCCGAAAATGGGGGTATTTTGATTTTTCTAAAAATTAAGGAGTTGGAGAGTAGAGCGTGCGACCGTAGCGGCAGGCTGGAGCAGAGGAGACGGAGGCAGCGGCCTGGAGCAGAGGAGAACAGTCGTGACTTGCGTGGAGGACGACAGTGGTGGACTCTCGTGGGCTAGTGCCGGTGGGCGGTGGTGGGTGAAAGACCGACAGTGGTTCTTCGGCTTCTTCGCAGCTTGCAGAGAGAAAGAGACGAGCAGTACTTCTACAATAGTCAATTAGGGTTGGGGTATTTTAATTTAAATCGCGTATATGGAGGACAATGACGATGTATTATACGCAGAGCATTTTAAAAGACTATTTTAGTCTTCATGTTAACGTCTACTTAACCAGTTTGGGACGGAAGGACCAATATTAGAAATATTTTGATAGTTAAGTGTCTAAATTGTCCGAATTAAAAGACAATGACCCATTGTGAAAAATCATGACAGCCGGAGGACCAATGCTGGAATTAACTCCTTTCCGGCGGAAAGAAGTCAGAGCCTTACGGCAGTGCCGCTGGAAGCAGTGGCTGATGCAAAACTCTTCTTTTGTGTTTTTCTTCGCTTCCGGTGGATTCCACGACCGCCAACAGCGACACAACAAGAAGAAACAAGTTCATGCGAAGATGATGAGCTCTCATTGTTCGCTTCTTGTGTTGTTCTTTCTACCTGTAAAATTCATCTATGGCTTTTGTTCCAGAAAATGCTTACCGACGTAGAGGGAGAAAGAACACAGCAAAAGAAACTTGTTTGTGGACGACATTGCGGCTGAAATTCCTTTTTTTTTTCTTTAATAATTGAATAGGCAACCGGTTAGCAACCTACAAAAAACGTCAATCGAACAAATTTGGTTGGTAAGTGTGGCTGATTAGACTTTAATTTAGTTCGTGGTAGGAATTGAGCGTAGTAGATGTGCCTATTTGACACTTCTTCCTAAATTTTATTTTATATATATATATATATATATATATATATATATATATATATATATATATATATATATATATATATGTATGTATGTATGTATGTATGTATGTATGTATGTATGTATGTATGTATGTATGTATGTATGTATATGTATATGTATATGTACATGTACATGTACATATACATATACATATACATAGTATGTATGTATGTATGTATATGTATATGTATATGTATATGTACATGTACATGTACATATACATATACATATACATATACATATACATATACATATATATATATATATATATATATATATATATATATATATATATATATATATATAATAAAAATAGAAAAATAGTTACAGGGGTTTCCTCCAGCACATACTACGCCGCTGATCACCAACCACCACCACAGAGCTTCGCCGGAAGAAGCTGCTACGCCGGAGGGTACTGCAGGTCAACGAACGAGAGAGGAATTCACTGATCTGTTGTTATTGGTGGCTCGCCGTTGCTGTTTAGCTACCGGGGAAGGAGGTCACTGGTAGGAGCTGCTGCGGGTGGTCGGAGAACCAATCGCCATCAACGCCGGAGGAAGCTCGCCGAGGATTCGATTCATCCATCGCCGCTGTCCGCCAGAACTGGCATGGCCATTAACGCCGACGAGAGAATAGGTCGCCGGATCTGCTATTAAAGTCGTCCCAACCACCCGTCCACCATAGATGCTTCGCTGCTGTTGAACGGGCTATGTTTTTTTATTATTATTTTTTATATATAATATATATTTTTTAATAAATAACTATACACGGTCGAGTCACTTGTAGCACCTATTCAAGCCTTCTTGATATGGTGTCAGCTCGACAAGAGGGATGGAAATCCAAAACTCTTTCTCTAGCCGGGAGAGTAGTTTTTGCCAAATCAGTCTTTAATGCCATTCCAGTGTATACCATGCAGACCACAACCCTTCCGAAAGGACTTTGCGCTGAAATCGAAAAAAGGATAAGGAAGTTCATTTGGGGAAGCAATGGACGGATGGAGGCAATAAAATGAGTCTCGCAAACTTGGATTTGATTACAACGGCAAAAAAAAAAAATGTGAGGTCTAGGGCTTAGGAAACTTCACGACATGAACTTGGCATGCATGGTTAAGTTGGCAGGAGACTCAGAACATAAAATCAAAGCATGTGGGCTCGAACTCTTATGACCAAATATGAAAGGGCTCTCCCAATCGCACCTATCGGGTAGAAGGAACACTTCGAACGTCTGGCGCGACAACTGTGCTACGAAAGTTTTTCTGGAGAAAGGCTTAACCCACATCGTCTATAATGGCGAATCCACAAGATTCTGGATGGACGCGTGGCTCACCACACAACCTCTTTATGAGCAGCTGTTGGTCCCCTTAAGTTTCCCCAATCTATACGCGTTGTGGTGGACTAATGGGACAGTGAACGTGGGTGGAAATGGGAAAAGCTAGAGAGACCTTTGCCTCAAGAAACCATTGAGAGGCTGGCAGGATTCATATTGTCCGGTGATAACAGGTGCGATGTTGTGGGTTGGGGGCCTGACGAGAAAGGCGAATTCTCGGTGAAGTCAGCGTACAAGTTGATTACAAACGAGGAAGGCAATAACATGGATGGGGAATGGAACAGAATCTGGAACCTACAAGTGCCAGCCAAGATATGCATGTTCTTTTAGCTAGTGAAACACGAGAAAATCCTAACGAATTTCTAACGTGCTAGACGTAAACTCACTTCTAACGACTCTTGTTTTCGATGTGCAAGGCAACGGGAAGACCTTAATCACCTTTTTAGAAGATGTCCGGCAGCGCGAAGTGTCTGGGAGTTGACTCTAAACAGACAAAAGGCGGCTGCGATAACCAACCTGGACTGGAAGGATTGGCTCTCGTTGAATCTTCACGGAGATAAGCGGAAAGGCTTCGACGAAGGGTGGGCTGAACGCTTTGGGATCAGACTTTGGTGGCTGTGGCGATGGGTGAACGATGAGGTCTTCAACAATCAATCTCTGCCGATGAATCAAAAACTGGAGTGGCTGAAGAGGTATGAAACTGAGGTCACGAGAGCTTTTGCGAAGCGCAGAGGGCCTTCAAGGGGTATTTCATCGATCGTGGAAACCCAAGTCGCGTGGACGAAATCGGCGAATGGATTCCTAAAACTCAACGTGGACGGGTGTTGTAAAGGAAACGGTATGGCAGGTTGTGGCGGCATTCTTCATGACAGGCAAGGAACCTGGCGCAGGGGATTTACATATAAAATGTGCAGATGCTCAGTGGATGAAGCCGAAGCTTGGGCCGTCATTCAAGGTCTACGCATGGCTAAAGATACGGTGCGACTAAAATCATAGTGGAGTGTGACTCCAAGACCATTGTGGAGAGTCTTCAGAGAGAAAAAGAGGGACAAGCCCAACGATGTAACATTGCGAGGAAATGCGTCATGCAGGCCGCAAATTTTAATGAGGTGACTTACGCGCATGTTTACAGGGAACAAAACAAAATCGCGGATCGCTTGGCTTCGGACGCCATTGCTCATCATACTAGAGTACGCATCCTGGAGGAGCCTCCGCCTGACATCGTGGAGTTGATTCACCAGGACATGGTTGGAGCATTATCAACAAGAAGAGTTCATCAAGTCCTTCGACAAGGAAACGGTGGAAGCTAATGCTTTTGGGTGTCCCCCTTTCTTTGTCCAATTTAAAAGAAAATGTCTTTCTAGATTTTTAATCAGACCACACTTACCGGATTCTTTAATTTCCTATTTCTCTTTTTTTTTTCTCTCTCATCTCTCTTCAAGTTAGTTTTCAAAGTATTATTATTACCACTGTACCACCCGGCCACCACCACAACTTCAAAAAAAAAAAAAAATGCAATTTCTTAACAACACACCACACCACATCACACCACCATGTATCATCATCATCATGTGTCCCTCATTCTTCCAAGACAAAGTCTGCGCCAAACACCACCACATTTTTTCTTGTTTTTCTCTTATTCATGCAATTGCCTATTTTCTTCTTCTTCTTTTTTTCCTTGTATAAATAGGCTCATGTAATAGCATTACAATCATCCCAACATTACAACAATTGTCCTTTTATTACATTTACCTCCTTTTTCTCCTCATTGTAATATCTTCTCAATTTAGCAATATCCTAATTTGTCATTTATTTTTATATTTTTCATATTATTTAACTTCTTTATAATTCTCAATTTTCAATTATTCGCTTAATTTTGTATTAGTCTATTATATTCATAACAAGTGGTATCAGATCCCAGTTTAATTAAGAATTATTCCCGAAAATGTTGACTGTTACCAAGTTTGATATTGAGAATTTCAACGGAAAAATTAGCTTTTCTACCTGGAAGGTTCAGATGGAAGTCGTTCTAACCCAGAACGGTTTAAAAAAAGCGCTAGATGGGAAGAAAAAAAAACCAACTGTAATGACGGATGAAGATTGGGAGATTTCGATGACAAGGCACATTCAACCATTCAATTGTGCTTGTTTAAAGAGGTTCTGCGTGAGGTGGTAAGTGAGAAAACAACGTCAGATTTATGGTCCAAGTTGAATTCACTTTACATGGCCAAATCTCTGGTGGACAAGTTGCGTCTGAATGAGCGATTATACACAATCCATATGACGGAAGATACTTCTATTAAATCTCACTTGGATGAATTCAATTCTATTTTATTGCACTTGAAGAATATTGATGTCATAATTAAAGATGAGGATCGTGTTGTTTTATTTTATTTAGGGAGAGAGACAAGTAATAAAACAACACGATCCTCATCTTTAATTATGACATCAATATTCTCCAAGTGCAATAAAATAGAATTGAATTCATCCAGGTGAGATTTAATAGAAGTATCTTCCGTCATATGGATTGTGTACAATCGCTCATTCAGATGCAGCTTGTCCACCAGAGATTTGGCCATGTAAAGTGAATCCAACTTGGACCATAAATCTGACATTGTTTTCTCACTTACCACCTCACGCAGAACCTCTTTAGACAAGCACAATTGAACGGTTGAACGTGCCTTGTCATTGAAATCTTCCCAATCTTCATCCATCATTACAATTGGTTTTTTCTTCTTCCCATCTAGCGCTTTCTTTAAACCGTTCTATGTTAGAACGACTTCCATATGAACCTTCCAGATAGAAAAACTAATTTTTCCATTAAACTTCTCAATATCGAACTTGGTAGCAGTACAGTCGACATCTTAAAATAATATATTTTCAATTAAACCGCTTTGATATCACTTGTTAGAAATATAGCGAATTAATACGAAAGTGAATAATCGAAATTGAGAATTATAGAAGTAAAAAATAAATAAAGGGAATAGGACAAGACTACTTTGGGACAAAATTTGGTAATAAAATAAAAATATATTAATAGGCCAATATTGCAATATATAAGCAAGAGGTAATAAAAATAGATGAATGTAATAAGATGTGTGTGTGTGTGAGTGTCTGAAATGTAAGAAACAACATGCATTTATACTATTACTATTCTAACAATAATGAGGACTTTGAGATGTTGCTTGGGGATGAGAAGATTCCGGTGAAGCCATGCAAAGGATTTGAACCACAATTTTTCTAATAAATCTCCTCCACATATGGGTTTGGTAATCCCTGTTCACAATCCTTGTATTATTGTTAAACAACTTTTGTAGTGATTCGGTATGGCATGCATTCCCTTTCCACGCACGTTTAAAAAACCATTTCTAGTTTAAACCTTAGACCAATTAACATCAACCGGAGGTTTTTGCAAAAAAAAAAAAAAAAAAAAAAAAAAAAAAAAAAACATATGAATTGAAATAACATGCCTAGCTAGTAGAATTGCTCTTCTCGTACTTGCTTGGTGCGCATGCATGAAAATATGTTAGATCGAGTCAAATTTTAAAAAATTATTTTAGGACTTAAACCTATTATGAGAATTTAAGGTTTGAGCATAAGCATGAGCATGTATGCATGTCTTGTTTAGATTCAAGCTTGAATCTACAATAGGTATGATTTGGTCTAAGTTTAAAGGCCTATTTAAAAAATAAAAAAAAGTTCACATCAAACATTTGGGAATAATAGAAAAAATTGAGAGTATATATGTGAGATGTTTTTTAGGGGCCGTTTGGTTCACAAAATGTTAAATTACTTTAGGAAATGTTAGATTACCTTAGGGAATGTTAGATTGCTGAGAATGTTAGATTACTGAGAATGTTAGATTCTTGTGTTTGGTTAAAATTGAGGTATGTAATATATTCATGTTTGGTTTAGGGTTATCTTTTATATATATATATATATATATATATATATATATATATATATATATATATATATATATATATATATATATATATATATATATATATATATATATAGATTAGCGCTCAAATGCGGCAGTGGCTTTAGGTGCGGCGGTGCGGCTATATCAGCATCGTCCATTTTGCTTAATCTAACGGCAGCGGCTAATTTCTGAAGATTTAAAGATTTAAGCACGTCCTGATAAGTGGGGGGTGTTATGGTAATTGTAGTGGTCATTTATATTGGTCGCTTGTCAGAATACACCAACAGTGTTAACAAAAGACACCAATAGTGTTAGGAAAAAGCACCACAATGAAATGCATAAATACACCAAAAAACACACAACACACTCAAAAAATACACCATATAACTCACCACCCCAACGGTGTATTTTTGAACACTGTGTGGTGCTTTTATTCATACCTAATGGTGCGTTCTGGTGATGCATATCTAATTTGTGACATGTTTTTTTGGTGTGCATTTTCTAACATGGATGATGTATATTTGTATAACTATTAGTGCACCCGCACTGACCGCATGGGAAGGCGCGGACGCACCTAAACTTGGCACCAACACGAATCCTCAAATACACCACAGTAAGGTTAATAATGCACCAATAACGAACATAAAACACACAACACTATGATTTGATCTATTCAGGTGCCCAATGACGACTTTAACCTTGCAGTTCGCGTAGTGTGAGAACGTGCGCGAAAATATCGGAAAAGCCTGGATGAATGTGATTCGTTGAATTTATCTAATCTAATGGCCTATATTTAACCACAGCGCCGCACCTAAGCGCACTGCCGCACTTGAACCTTCCTACTTATATATATAGGGAAAATGGCACTTTTTACCCCTGAGTTATATACTTATAGCACTTTTTTCCCCTCAATTATTTAGGTAAGCACATTAGCCCCCTCAATTATTCTAAAAGTGGTGTTTCCCCCCCCCCCCACCCCCCCTGATATATTAAATTGACATTTATACCCTTAAAGTAAACATTTTATTTATTTTACTACTCCAACAAATTATTACGTATACATAGGGATGACCACGGTTCGATTTGAATTGAACCGGATACTAAAGCAATCGAATTAATAGTTTACGGTTATAATTCAGATCTAGAACCTAATATTTAAATGCCAATTTATTAAAATTATCTATCAAAAAAATTGAATCTTGAACCATGAACCGGCGGTTCCGGATCTGATTCGCGATTTTGAACCGTCTTTATTTTAAAATTTTATTTTTTATTTTAAAATAGTCTAAATTCAATAATAAATGTATTTTATTTTTTCAATTCGGAACATTAACCGTCCGTTCCGGTTCACGATTTTAATAAACTCTAAATATCGAATTTCGATTCTAAATTGTAATTGAAATATTTCTGTTTGGTTGCTATAGTGTTTGTTAGTTTTGAACCAAATTATGGTCATAATTTATTGGAGAAAAAAAAATAAATTAAATATTTAGTTTAAGGGTAAATATGTCCATTTAACATTTCAAGGGAAAAACAGCCACTTCAATAATTTAGGGGGAAAAAATGCTATTGGTATATAACTCAGGGGAAAAAGTGTCATTTTCCCATATATATATATATATATATATATATATATATATATAGAATAAGGCTCATATGCGGCAGTGGCTTTAGGTGCGGCGGTGCGGTCATATCAGCGTCGTCCATTCTGCTTAATCTAACGGCAGCGGCTAATTTCTTAAGATTTAAAGATTTAAGCGCGTTCTGGTAAGTGGGGGGTGTTATGGTAATTGTAGTGGTTATTTATATCAGTCGCTTGTCAGTATACACCAACAATGTTAACAAAAGACACCAATAGTGTTAGGAAAAAGCACCACAATGAAATGCACAAATACACCAAAAAACACACAACACACCCAAAAAATACACCATATAACTCACCACCCCAATGGTGTATTCTGAACACTGTGTGATGCTTTTAGTCATACCTAGTGGTGCGTTCTGGTGATGCGTATCTAATTTGTGCATATTTTTTTGGTGTGCATTTTCTAACATGGATGGTGTATATTTGTATAACTATTAGTGCGGTCGCACTGACCGCTCGAGAAGGCACCAACACAAATTCTCAAGTACACCACAGTAAGGTTAATAATGCACCAATAATGAACATAAAACACAACACTATGATTTGATATATTCTGGTGCCCAATGACGATTTTAACCTTGCAGTTCGCGTACTGTGAGAACGCGCGTGAAAATATCGGAAAAGCCTTGATGAATGTGATTCGTTGAATTTATCTAATCTAATGGCCTACAATTAACCGCACCGCCGCACCTAAGTGCACAGCCGCACTTGAACCTTCCTCTATATATATATATATATATATATATATATATATATATATATATATATATATAAAAGCTAACATAAAATATACATCTTCAAATAATTAGAATTAAAATAGCAAAATTTATAAATATCTAAGGTTATCTTACATAACCTTAAAAAAAAAATGAAAGGAATCACATTCTCTTCAAACTCCTATGCCTAAGGAATGTCCATTTCCTAGTTTCTCTCAAAAAATATGAACCAAACATAGGAATGTAAACTGGAGAATGTCACATTCCCTTGGTTATGTTGTACAACCTGAACCAAACTCCTCTTAGGGTAGCTTCCTATATATATTGAAGTATATAGGATTACTCTTCTCCTCCTCACAGCACAATTGCACCTAAGAGAAAATCATTGATAATGGCTTCTACGAGTATTTGTTTAGCACTTGTTTCTATCTTCATTGCAACCCTATTGTGGTTGTTCCGTTACCGGAGGGCTATAGCGTCGTCGAAAAGTCGCCGGAAACTTCCACCGGGGCCACGTGGGATTCCCATCATCGGAAACCTCCACATGCTAGGCACCCTCCCGCACCGGTCCCTAAACGAGCTATCCAAAAAATACGGCCCCATAATGTTCTTGAAGCTGGGTAACGTCCCAACGGTGGTGATCTCCTCGCCCTCCGCCGCCGAGCTCATCCTGAAAACCCACGACGCCGTCTTTGCCAGTCGGCCGAAGAGCGACGTTGTGGACAACACCACCAACGGCTCTAAGGGCATTGGGTTCGCACCGTACGGTCCTCTGTGGCGCGACAACAAGAAATTCGTAACCCAAGAGCTTCTCACGGCGGCGAAGATCGAGTCCTTTGCGGCGATGCGAAAGGCGGAGATTGAGGCATTGGTGAAGTCAATAAGGGCGGCCGCGGAGGGCCGGGAGGCGGTGGATCTTACTAGTGAGGTGGGGAAGTTGATTGAGAACGTTACGTACAAAATGCTGTTTGGGTGTAGTGATAACAGTGATAGGCGACATGATGACTTCAAGTGTATCGTTGAAGAGATCGTGTCTTTGGAGGGAGCTTTCAATATTGTAGACTACATTCCCATTCTAAAGCCCTTTGATCTCCAGGTAAACAATCAAGGAAAAATGACACTTTTTTCCTTAGCTTTTTTTCTTTCTGAATTATTCATACACTTAAATTATCTCTTTATTAAAAGTGGTCATTTTCTCCTATTTTTATTAAATAGGCATTTAGACCCTAAGGACAAAATAGGTATTTTATTTATTTTTCTTTTCCAACAAGTTATTGCTTATGTTATCCTTATCCCTATAAATGTCTCTCTCTTATAAATGGGTTCCACTTTCACATCATCAAATTTGTAATTTCTCCACAATTTTTTCTACATCCCTGCAAATCTCTCTCACCACACCTTCAAAAATAGGTCTCACTTTTATACTATATATTATAAATATAATAATATAATAATATAATAATAAAATAATAAAATAATAATAATTTCAAAAAAAAAAAAAAAAAAAAACTTATATGGCGCGGCAGCTTTTTAGCAGCAAAAGCTGTCTTAGCAAATTTGCTAGCCACGTGGAGGTACAAACAAAATAAATGCTCAAAAGAGTAAAAAAAAAACAATTTGCAAATATTATAATATAATTATTATTGTATTTTATTAAGTCTTAATTATGTTATTAGAATTAGTTTAAAATCATAATTACAGTATTTGTAAATAGTGTTTTCTTTTTTACATTTATTTTGATTCAATATACAAGCAATAATTTATTGGAGAAGGAAAGTGACTTGCAATACCTAGCTATTTTGCTCTTATTTTTAACAATCCAAAAGTCCATTTAATAGAAATTGAAAAAAAAAACTAAAAAAAAAAAAAAACATCACTTTCAAAATAATTGAGGGGCTAATGTGAATATATGAATAATTCAGTGAAGAAAAACCCTAAAATCATAGGGAAATTCCATTCGCCCCACCTATTTTGCTATTGGCACTATCTATATAATAGGTCAAATAACTTTATAGGTGGTGCAAATAACAAAGTGCTATTTGACCACCATTAATAAATGTGGTCAAAAAGTAATATTTATTATTATTTTAAAAAAAATCAACATATTAAAAAGAGAGAGAGAGAGAGATCTGTCACCTTCTCCGGTGAGAAGGCGACATTTCATTGTTTTTTTTTTTAATTTTAATGAATTAAATTTTAAATTAATTAATTATTACTTAAATCTAATAAATGCAGTTTTACTAAGGTGGTGCAAATAGCATTTTGACCACCCATTAGACTATTTGCACCACCTATGTATTTATTATAAGTTACCACCTTTTTATACTTTTAATGTACTTTATACCTCATTTTAGTCAAAGGGTGGTGCAAATAGCAACACCCAAATCATATAATTCAGGGGGAAATGTGTTATTTCCAAAAAAGTAATGTTTCTAGATTTAAATTATCATATAACATGAATTATTTTTCCCTAATTCAGCTATACAAAATTGTTACATGCAGGGGTTAAACAAGAGAATTAAAGCAGTTGGAAAATCTATTGACAAGTTATTTGCAGAAATTATCAAGGAACATGAAGAAGATACAAAAAAAGGCATCCCAAAAAGCAATAAGAACATTGTAGATATAATGCTATCATCTCACAAACTCGACTTGGTAAGCATTAAACCACTTCTCTTGGACATGATAGTAGGATCTGTGGATACCTCATGGACATGGATCGTGTGGACTTTAGCAGAAATCATGAGGCATCCCAGAGTGATGAAACGTCTCCAACAAGAGTTGGAGACTAAAGTGGGACTGAATCGAATGGTGGAGGAGAAAGACTTGCCCAACTTGGAGTACTTAGAGATGGTGATCAAGGAAAGCTTCAGGCTCCATCCAGTCGCAACGCTACTCCTTCCTCGAGAGTCGATGGAGGATATCGAATTAGACGGCCACTTCATACCCAAAAAAACACGGGTTTTAATAAACTGTTGGGCGATTGGGCACGACCCTGACTTTTGGTCCGACAATAATAATGTGGAGGAGTTTGTTCCGGAGAGATTTATGAACAAGAACATAGATCTTCGAGGACATGATTTTCACCTACTTCCATTTGGATATGGGAGGAGGGCATGCCCAGGAGTGAATTTGGGGTTGATTATCGTTAAATTGATTGTTGGTCAGTTGATTCATTGCTTTAATTGGGAGCTGCCAAATGAAATGTCACATAGTGAGTTGAACATGTCTGAGAAATATGGTTTGGCATCTCCGAAAGCCGACCACTTGGTTGTTGTTCCCTCTCATCGCTTGTTTTCTCAATTAGCTTAAGTATATATATTCTCAAGACATATATACAATAAGTAATTTGGTTTCTCATAATTATAATAATAGTAGTAGTGGTAAAATGTATGATGTTAATTAAACCAGGCTTGATATATATAAAATGATTGATTTTCTTTATTGAGTACTACTGATGACTCAATTACAATAAAATGATTGATTATAAATGAAAACATTGTTGGTTCCGGTAGGGTCGAAAGAGAGTCTAGAGGGGGGTGAATAGACTCTAATCGATTTTTCAAGTCACTCCTTTTGGAGCTATGCATAGCGGAAGTATTGTTTTGTCTTAGGTGTACTTTGCACACTTTTGGTTATGAAAATTTAGCGTTTGCTCGATATGTTATGCAATGCATGAAAGAAATAAAAAAATAAAAAAAATAGGGGTCTACAATCTAAGACAGTTTGGTATCATCAAAATCTAAATACACTTGTTCCTAACAAACATTGAAAGAGCAAATTTCACTTTTAGCTAGCCATGGACTATTGTAGTGATATTATCACATTGGGTTTTATTCTTTTCATTTTGTCACATTACATCATTGACTTTTATTTGCTTGTCACATTTAGTCCTCATTTTAAAATTTTGTCATTTCACCATTTAATAATGAGGGCAAACACGTAATTTTATTATTCAAATCTCTTACCCCAACATTTAACGCCTCCCTCTCTCTTGTAAATTTTTTTTAATTGAATGATGAAAGTTTATGTTAGCCATGTTTATTAAATGGTAAAATAAAAAAATTTTAAAATGATGACTAAATGTGACATGCAAATAAAACTCAAGGATATAATGTGACAAAATTAAAGAGCGGGACTAATGTGATAATGTCATAATAATTGATGACTAAAAGGGGATTTAATTTGCTCAAGTTGAAATGTAGATAAGTTTATTAAGAGGGAAATAAGGTGCAAAGACTTATGTTAGGTAGATACGTTTAAGAGTGGAATAAGGTGCAAAGACTTTTATATTAGTTATTACTAGTGTAAAACATAGTATAGTAGTGATGAAAGACTTATAATTATATTAGTTATTACTAGTGTAAAATATAGTATAGTACTGATGAATAACTTATAATAGGTATGGTAGGTGATGGTTTTACAAGATCGGGTAGAAAATATAAACCAACCAATTAGGCATTTAATTCTTAAGAGTGGAATAAGGTGCAAAGACTTTTATATTAGTTATTACTAGTGTAAAACATAGTATAGTAGTGATGAAAAACTTATAATTATATTAGTTATTACTAGTGTAAAATATAGTATAGTAGTGATGAGTAACTTATAATAGGTATGGTAGGTGATGGTTTTACAAGATCGGGTAGAAAATATAAACCAACCAATTAGGCATTTAATTCTTAAGAGTGGAATAAGGTGCAAAGACTTTTATATTAGTTATTACTAGTGTAAAACATAGTATAGTAGTGATGAAAAACTTATAATTATATTAGTTATTACTAGTGTAAAATATAGTATAGTAGTGATGAGTAACTTATAATAGGTATGGTAGGTGATGGTTTTACAAGATCGTGTAGAAAATATAAACCAACCAATTAGGCATTTACCTCTAGCCTTTAAGGCATGTTACTTGGGGGATTCAAACTCCAGGTATTGTAGTTGGGAGGAAAAAAAAAAAAAAAAAAAAAAACCACTGGACTAATTGTTATATTTGTGACTAGATGACGTTAGAATAAGGTAAAGAACCTATTTATAGTGTTGCACCCCATGAAACAAGTGGTTGTTAACTTGTTATGCCTCAATCAACACATTAAACGATTGAATGGTTGTCATGCCTCGATCAACCCCGTCGACTCACTTGTGGTCACCACAAAGTCGCCACTCCACACCCTTCTCCTTAGCTATTTTTTACTGTTCAGGAATTTGAGTCTAGGTGGTTGTACGTGTCTCTCTCTTTTTGTTAATTTCGTCTTAACTGGCACTATGCAATCTGTTCTGGCTTAACTTGAACTATGCAATCTTTTAGGCCTCCTTTGGACCAATTGTCATTCAACCAATACCCCATCGCTCCATCATGAGTTTAAGAGATTGGACTCAACACAAGAGTAATTATTGCAAACAAAAGTACATTTTTAATATACTAAGGAGTAAGGATACATTATATTTATAACATTCGTAAGGTACAATTTTTAAAAGTATATTTTTAATATATTAAGGGTATATTATTTTATATAATATACCTTCAGTACAAAAATAATGTACTTTTAATATATTAAAAATGTACATGATATTCATGGTCCACACAATTATATGGATCATGGTCCACACAATAATTTGCCCAACATAAACCTGGTATAAAATATAAATAGGACGGATAAAAATAATAATATCAATTGAGCATTGTGCCCAAATAATATTCACAATTGGACTACAAATAATTAAATAAAGTCAACCCAACCAGGGTCTAATAAGCCCAAGTTAGACTAGGCATTTAACTCTATCCCTTAAGACAAGCTACTTAAGGGATTCGAACCCAGATGTTGTGATTGGGAAGGTAGAGAAGAAATCATCATTAAAGTATATAATTCATGTCCTGATTTAATTTCAATTTTGATTTTATAACTATTGGGTGTTGTTAATTTCAATTCATAACTTTAAAAATTGATAATTTAATACCTTAATTATTTAATTTTTAAAAAATTTTAGTCAGTTCAATCAAATTACCGTCCAATTCTCACCCAAAATTTTTAATTCACTTTATTTTCTTTACTCACAAAGGCAATATTGTCTTTCTAATAAAATAGAGTAAGTACATAATGTGACAACGCATTCAGTTTGGAAAATTTAGAGGGGATTATGGCTTCTAGATTTCGGTACGCCACCAATTCTGAAGTGCCTTCAACTTTTTCTTAAAAGCAATAATAAATTATTCAGAAACTCATTTATTTATTTTTTTCAATTTGGTTTACGTGATTGCAAGAACACTTGCACTGCTTATTAATTTCCTATTGGGCTATTCCAGTATAACTATCCTTTGTGGTTTATTGGGGCTATTAACACAGTTCGAGCTTTAAATTTGGCTTAGAGTAATGGTGGTGGTTTTTGGATGATTTCAATAGACATGTAGATTTTTATTTTTATTTTCTGTTTCGGTGAATTGATGCCACTTTTTTTGTTTTTTTGGTCATAATCATAGCTTGTACTCATTTGTACATGGTGTTTTAGCTTATATTATGTACAATGAATTGTTGGATATCTCGTTGCTGAAACCCAATAATAATTTTAAAATATAATGATTATTATTTTCTGTAGAAAAAGCGAAGGAAAGATGAATAGATTGGCTTTGTGTTTGGTGTAGGGTTTTTAGCAAGAGTCAAGCGATCCACCATTTCCTTAAAACCTTATTTGCTACCTCCCACAAGTGCTAGGAGCGTTGTAACCTGTAACCTAGGCTTCCCATGATAAAACTTGCTACGATTTAGTGTTTGAGCACCCAAACAAAGAATCCGGTGAACTAGAGCAAGATTATGAAAACAGTATGGCTAAGAAAGGAGTAGAAGCAACACCACTTTGCACCCAAAGGTGCCGGCGTACACAAGATTAGGCTTGAGCCAAGCCTTTTCAATCTAATCTCATTTTGGAATTAGATTTACATCCCTGCTCGCAAGAGAAAACCTCTATGCTATACAATTCATTAAGTTTAAAAAGAGTTCTTGTATAAATAGTGAGGCAAATCCTCTTCCCAAACCAATGTGGGACAAAAGCTCACTTTTTCTCTTGATTTTTCCAATTCAATGGGTCTACTTTGAGAATCAATATCTCATTCACCCATTATCCGTTTTGAGCGTACAATATATCAATCTCTTCGTCTCACTACGAAGAACCCGAATCCACTTTGGCCCGACCCAAATCGGAAGTGGACCCGACTGATAATTGTACCACAAAATAGCCACTTAACATGCCATTTTATATCATTTTAAGCTATTTTTTCCAACATGAATAATATAACATGATATGACTTAAATTCATAACTTTATTTTTTACAATATTTTGACCTGCTACATCAAAGAAATTGCACAGTGGATTAAAAAACTTGTCGCAATACCAAAGTCAAAATTGTTTTTGGACTCAATCAATAATGGAACAACAGCCTTGGGATAATTCATGAATCAACAAAGTTACATGTGATGAAGATGCTGCATGTGATGTACCTGCGACCAAAAAAAATAATAATAATAATAATAATAATAATAATAATAAACAATAAAAAAAAATAAAAAAAAAAGAGAGAAAATGCTCGAGTCACTACCCTCCAAATTCTCAGTGGCCGCCGACATATATTTAAATTGGTTTCCATTTTATTCATTTAGCATGAAATTCTGTGGGCAATTCGAATAATATATGTTAGAGCATTCGCAATAGGCGTGAATTTTGAGTAGTTTTTGCAGAAGTGAGAAAAAAAAAAATAAAAATAACGCGCCCTGTTGGGCTCTCTTAGTATGCATAATGTGCACCAGGAGCAGTTTCACTAATTTGGTGGGATCCACACATCTGACATCTGACGAAAACCAAGATTTTCTTGCAAGGCTGAAAAGAATTAAATTACTCTCTCTTCTTCCTCTCTCTTTTTTCACATAGGATTACATTTCCTCAAAAAACAACCCAAAAGTCTCTATTCGGAATGCTGTTATTAGATTCGGGAATAAAATTGCTCTCCTTGTGTTTCAAGAATCCGTTCTCTATGCTTTTATTCTAGGTATGAGTGAGATTGAAATGATTAAAACAATAATAATAATGGAGCATATTGAAGGGTCAATGAAATTAGAGTGCATGATATTGGCTCAAGTAGTCTATTACATTTATCTAACTCTTATCGCTTAAATATAATGTTTAATTTAAGTTGAAATTTTTAATGGTTTAGATGGTGAACTTCTCCCATTGTAGTATTATCATTGGGTGCTTGAAGAGCTAATGGAGTGATAGACCACTTCAACCGCTCTTCCAAGCGGCGTAGTCTTATAAGGCAGATCAAAACATTTTGATAATTCTATACAATATTTCTTTTTGGTTGAACCAATTGAAATTATCAAAATATCATCACCCTCCTTATATTTAAAATCAAAAGATTTTGATTTTGTACACAACTCAATTAGTCATTCAACTTAAAATAACTTAATAGTTTTGCTTTGTTAGTTGTGCATTTGAGGGCTTGTGAGAGCCATGTCCCGCACCAAGTCTCTCGGGCATATGCATAATAGAAGTATTCAATGCCCCCGGGGCATAGTATAGTTGGTTCGCCATCTGGTTTAAAGGTCATGACTAGAGGCAATAATGTGGGATTCAAATTTCACTAGATATATTTATGGAAAAGACCCAAGGATGATGAAAAGTCTGAATTGGATCCTTATGTGCACATGAAGAGTTGAAGACTAAATCTATTTGATGAACTGATTGCGCGACTTGCGATTTACCGTTGCAGTGATTCAAGGAGCAGGATCCTATGTGATTAGGATTATTAATCCAGTGAAGTGGGGATCACCTAAGTTTAAAAAAATAATAATAATAAAAACACCAACTCCAAAACCTTATTAAAAAGAAATCCCATTAAATATTAAAACTTACTTCTTTTTTTTTTTTAACTTTATCTTTTGCTTCTTATTATCGTATCACATACTAATTAACTAAAAAATGAAATAATAATTTTTTTAATCCATATTGCATAAAGTATTTTTCCTACTCCAAATTAGGCGTTAGTTTGAGAATAATATATTGAAGTGGACGGTTGTTGAGTGTTCCCATATTGGAAAATTGGAATCTAACTTAGATCATACAACAAACGGAATCATAAATTAGTATTATTTTTTGTTGGACGAGATAAATTAGTATATTATTATTATTATTATTATTATTATTATTATTATTATTATTATTATTATTATTAAATATTGTTATGGACAATAATGACTCCAATATTACGGGGTAAACGTGGACCGGCGACCGAGTAAACCGCTGGCGAACAGGTAAGCTCCCGCCCATAGTCACGACACCAAAACCAGCAAACATAGTCTCCGGTTTTGCTATTTCCCAATTCGTTATCGTAAAGATAAACATGGACAAAATAAATGAAAATCAAAATAAACAAACCAAAAATAGTTTTTCTATTTTTTTTTTAAACGTTTAGTCGTTGATCACGGCTTTAAATTTCCCGAAAACCAGGAGCGACTTCAGGTGGCCTCCACGTCAGCCGAAATGTGGCGATTCGATCTCTCTTCTTACACTGACACCTCTGTGATACCCACGCGCAACCTATTCATCTCTAAATTGATTAATTGAACGCATATTCCCCTTTTTCTTTTTCTTTTTTTTTTTTTCTACAAAAGGTTTAATCTCCAATCTTAAGGGCTCATCACATTCTGTCTCGACATAACATTTAAGATGATGCAAATCATGGTGATTCAATGGCTCGGTAGACATGATCGAATGCTGGTACGCATAAGCGATCTGGTTTTTCTCTCAAATACTACCTACCGAACTATGGAGTTAAGCTCATGCGGGCTTCTATTTCTTTTTTTCTTTCTTCTCCCAAAAAGTTGAATTCCCAACCTAAGAGCCTCCCACACCTCGATGTGATAGAACATGTGTGAGGATGTAAATCACTATAATTTAGGACCAAATGCTGAAGTTTCAAACTTTGGTATCTTCCCCTAGATATTACTTACTAAACCAGTGAGTTAAGTTCGTACATACTTTTTTTTCCTTTCTTCTTTTCATCACACAAGGTTTTCGACTTAGTTAATTGGACAATACCCTAGACCTTATTAACCCGCTAACCTAAGCCTCTAATAATCGTGGAAGAGATCGAACCTCCACAATGTGATTGGAATCAAGTTTTATGTGAAAGTTTTAATCCACGAGATTAATGCCTTATGTACACTATTTACTTTTAACTTCATACTAAGTTACTAACATAATTCATCCAGATTACTTTTTAAAAAAAATTAAATAAGTAATCAAATTATACACAAAATGTAATTAGACTACTATACAATTAACAAAATAAGTTTCTTTAATTTTTATGGCTTCAATGAAATTTTTGTTTCACTTAATTTTTATTTTTTTTTACAATGAAGAAGAAAAGTATCGAGTCTGGTACCTATTTTGCTAACGTTGAAGAACAAATTAAAGGTACTAACAATGAGAAATCTTAAAAAATTGCAAGTGAACATAAGCGTATATAGTGACTTGCAAGTAACCGAGAGATGAGGAGAACATGTCATTGAATGTAACGCACTGATGAAGGTGAACATTAAAGACTTTTCTTAAACATTCAATTTGAATTTGAAATGTCCAGAGGTTTAATTTGAAATGTGCAAAAAGGTGAACATTAAAAGACTTTATCCTCCTCTACCTTATATAAGTATGGTTGAGTAGCAGATTTTGATAAGCAGATTTTGCAAGTAGCTTGTTTTATTTAAAAAAACTTAGGCTACAATACTCCTAACATTAACAGGGCGTTTGGTTGGAGGGATTTTAAATTCCCTTCCCACTTAATTCCCACCCAATTCCAAAGGCCATTAAATTCCGCAGTTTGGTTGGAGGGAATTGTAATTCCATGGAATTGCAATTCCCTCATTTTCATGGAATTAAAATCTCATGTCCCCCCTGGGATTTTAATTCCTGGGAAAAAAAGATAGTGATGAGTCAAAATTACCCCTTCCTTTTTTAACCTAAAATTAATGTCTAACAACAATAATGGACATTTTTAACTTTATACTACTTATTCCCTTTCAATTCCCATGTATACCAAACATTGGAATTGAAATTCCCAGTAATTCTATTCCTGTCAACCAAACACTGAAATTTAAATTCCCACTTTATTCCTAGTAATTCAACTCCCATAAAATTACAATTCCTTTCCCACATAATTCTCCCTCCAACCACACGCCCTGTAAAGGGAGGTAAATGATCCGAGCAGCACGCGAAAGGGAGGTAAATATATCATTACCAAAATTAAGCAATAAAAAATGGAGGTTGACCCAGATTGTTATATTGGGAGTGCATTCACGCTCCACTTGGAGGAGCGTAAATGTACACAATCCTAGCTTAGCTTCTTGTTTCATTCCATCCACTTACATTATTATTATTATTATTATTGTCTGAATAATAATAAATATGTAATACAAATGAGAGTGAGTGGAGGTACATCCCCTAGTTCCATGTATATGGAAAGTTGGTTTTTCATTCTTTAATCCAAAAACACGCCGCCAATTTCTTCATTCTGTTTCTTATTACTATTCTCAAACCACTGCGCCACTTGATTGGAAACCATCCACCCCACCAAAACCCAATAGTTATGCTGTGCAACCGAATGTACCATGCGCATGGTGCATACGGTTCAAAACGACGTCGTTTTGATTAAAAACGCGCGTCCCACTTTAAAAAAAAAAAAAAATCAGGTTCGACTCTCAGCAATAGCATTATTGTGGATATATAGTTATGAAATTGTGGATATATAGTTATGAAATTGTGGTTATATAGTTATGAAATTGTGGTTATATAGTTATGAATTTATGGATATTTAGTTCATTCATTGTGAATATTTAATTCAATCATATATTGTGGATATTTAGTTCATTCATTGTGGATTTTTACTTCATTCATTCATTCATTGTGGATTTTTACTTCATTCATTCATTCATTGTGGATTTTTACTTCATTCATTCACTGTGGATATATAGTTATGAAATTGTGGTTATATAGTTATGAATTTATGGATATTTAGTTCATTCATTGTGGATATTTAGTTCATTCATTGTGGATTTTTACTTCATTCATTCATTCATTGTGGATTTTTACTTCATTCATTCATTCATTGTGGATTTTTACTTCATTCATTCACTGTGGATATATAGTTATGAAATTGTGGATATATAGTTATGAAATTGTGGTTATATAGTTATGAGTTCTGGATATATAAAAATGCTATTGCCGGGAATCGAACCTGATTTCTTCTTTAAGTAGGACGCGCGTTTTTTTAACCAAAACGACGCCGTTTTGCAACCGTATGCACCTTGCAAGGTGCATTCGGTTGCACAGCATAATTTGCGACCAAAACCCAACGTTTATACATACATATATATTCTCACGTTTATACATATAACATAGCCCACCATCGATGTATGATCTTCAAGCATTTAAATAACGTAGTTGTTCCATACGAATTGAAGGTGTGTCTTTCTTTCTTGATTTCTACGACAGAATTGGAAAGTGGAGTAAATATGAGGTTGAGCTGCAATGGTTGTCGAGTTCTGAGAAAAGGGTGTAGTGAAGACTGCATCATACGCCCTTGCCTTGAGTGGATAAAGAACCCCCAGTCCCAGGCTAACGCCACCGTGTTCCTCGCCAAGTTCTACGGCCGCGCTGGCCTCCTTAACCTCATCAACGCCGGCCCCCTAAACCTCCGTCCTGGTCAGTACTCTTTTGAATTGAAAATATGTGCTCTATCTGAACTAAAATTTTAATTAATTTGATGGGTTGGATGATATATTTTTTCAACTAAAAATTCAAACTCTAATTAAAACATGTGTTCCATCTCAACTAAAAGTCTATGCTGATAGTTTTATGTACATTTATGTTTATATGCGGCCATGCAATTCAAGGTGTGTGAAAGATGGTTTGTTGTTTGTGTTTTCAGCAATCTTTAGATCATTGTTGTACGAGGCATGCGGGAGAATTGTGAACCCGATATACGGGTCGGTCGGGTTGCTATGGTCCGGGAACTGGCAGCTCTGTCAGAACGCGGTTCAGGCGGTTCTGAAAGGAGACCCGGTGGTGCCCATAACATCGGCGACGACTAACAACGAGCCTCCGTTGAAGTTTTGCGATATCCGGCACGTGAACAAGGACGAGAATTGCGCGGTGTCCACGGATCTTCACCGGGTTAGGACCCGGTGCCTGTTCAAGAAGTCCAGGAATACTCGGGTCCGGGTCGGGTTCAGCGACGAGGAGGGTAACAGGTCGACGACGAGCCATGAGTCTTCGCTGAGCCACCAATCGCATATGGAGCCGAATTTGGAAGAGGCAAGCCGCGAGGTTGAGAGCTCAGCCATGGCCGCCGCCGAGTCGAGCAGGAAGGAAGGGCAAGCCGAAGCTGGCGATGGTGAAATTGAGCTGGAGCTCACCCTTGGCCGGCCTCGCGCCGTCTCAACGGAGAATTGAAGCTGTTGGCTCGGCTTAATTGCTTGGATCGATGAGGAAAGTATGTACACTGTACAGAAGACCTGGGCATTTGATTATTATGCAAAGAAAATGCTCTTTTCAAAAATTTTGTTTGACGTAGCTAAGGTAGATATAACAACATAATCATCCGCAACATAGTACGTCAAATGTTATTTTTAGTGTTAAGAGCAGCTCTTTTATTTTTCAATGCTTAATAATCAATTGTAGTTCAATTTTGTATAATTAATTTCCTCTTTTCTTTTTCGCCTTCACCTTTTTGCACTTATTTTTAATAGAAATAAAGTCTCACTAAATTTAACCTCAAAAATATAATTAGGCTTGATAGGAGATAGACCCAATGGGCTTAGGGCCTGAGAGGAAAAAAAAAGATGGGTCGAAGATTGGGTCCACAAAGACTGGCCCCAACGAAGGAAGGAAGGAAATAAGCGCCATGGGCCCTAAGCGGCCCTAGGGAAGGACGCGGCCAAGCGAGGGGCCGAGTCCAGGGAGTCGGCGTGAGCAGACGGTCGGCACAAGACGAAGGTCGGCCCAGTAGGTGACTGTTGTCATTAAAGAGTCGCCTTTAATGCTCGGTCAACCAGGCCGTTGGAAAGGCCTAATAACGGCAGCCCAACGGCCCTCAGCCTTAATAGGTCCCTTTATGTCACTTTAATGTTTATATTTAAATTAGCAAGGGAGGCTATCTATAAATAGGTCCCCTTGAAGAATGTAAGGGCAAGCTTCTTTTGGCAGAAAGTCGCCAGAAAATACAAATAAAAGTACCAAATTCATAGCAAGTTATTTCTCTTTTAGCAGTTCCATTTTAACAGTAAATCCACCAACTATGGTTACGTTGGACCTCCTTTGGTCCAAAAATCCTAAAACGGCAAATTATTGTATGGACTATGGTCCACACAATTGTGTGGACCATGAATATTAGGTACATTTTTAATATATTAAAAGTACATTATTTTTGTACTGAAGGTACATTATATAAAATGATATACCCTTAGTATATTATAAATGTACTTTCAAAAAATGTACCTTACGTACATAAATAATGTAGTCTGAGTATATAAAAAATTTACTTTTTATTTATTGTCCACACAATTGTGTAGACCATGGTCCATGCAATAATGATTGCCCTAAAACCAACAAGGTCAAAACAAGAAGTAACAATTAGCATGTTTTTATTATTGACTTATGTATGATTTTATAAATTTGTAATTAACATATTATGTGTTTGAAGTTAACAGATTATATATATGTAGTGTCAATGTGTTTTGATTGCGAAAAAAAAGGGAGAAAAGGAAAAAGAAAAGGCCATGCTAATTTAGGCAAAAGAAATCATTTTGGACCAATTCAAGGTTCACAATGCGCACGGTGAACTTTGGTTCACTATATAATAAATATATAATGATTGATTTGCCTAAGATATTTAGATTTTCTTCAATCGTTATGCTCTGGACCCGTGTCCCAGCATGCGTATTGAACACGGGTAATAGTGCCGTTAGGCATTTTAGATTCGTTATAGGAGTATATGTTCATAATTTTATTATCATATGTTCATAATTGTAAGTTCATAATGTCAGAGCTCTATGTTCATAATTCAATAACTGTACATTCATACTTCCATAATTGTACATTCATAATTCAATAACTGTAACTTCATAATTTTCGAAGCTCTATGTTCACAATTTTAGAGCTCTATGTTCATAATTTTATCACTATATGTTCATATTGTAAGTTCATAATGTCAGAGCTCTGTGTTCATAATTCCATAACTGTATATTCATAATTGCATAACTGTACATTCATGATTCCGTAACTGTACATTCATAATTCAATAACTGTAAAATCATAATTTTCGAAGCTCCATGTTCACAATTTTAGAGCTCTATGTTCATAATTTTATCACTATATGTTCATAATTGTAAGTTAATAATGTCAGAATTTTGTATTTATAATTTTATAACTTACATTCATAATGTCATAACTGTACATTCATAATGCCATAACTGTACATTCATAATCCCATAACTGTATATTCATAATGGCACAAATGAATAACGTCGTTAACGCTGTTAATGACGAGACAAAATCAATTTTTTTTTTTAACTGGAATGACGCGTTTTTCTTAAAAACGACGTCGTTTTGGACACATGTCCACAATGCATTGTGGACACGGATCCAGGGCATAATTTTCCGATATTCTTTACTTGGACTCATGTTATTTGGGCTTTCTAATTACACCAAATTGACCATGGGCTTGTTGATAGACTTGGGCTTCAATGAGAGAGTTGTTATTTTCTACACTTAGATTCCAGTCATCGGCAAATTATGCCCGGGAAATGTGTTCACCGAGAATGGTGAACACAAGGCCAAACGACGTCGTTTTTAGGCAAAAAAAAAAAAAAAAAAATCATGGATGTGGTGTTAACGGCGCGCGTTGATCAAATTATGAATTTTCTGTTATGAGATTATGAATTTTCAGAAAATTCATAATCTCATAACAGAAAATTCATAATCTCATAACAGAAAATTCATAATCTCATAACAGAAAATTCATAATCTCATAACAGAAAATTCATAATCTCATAACAGAAAATTCATAATCTTATAACAGAAAATTCATAATCTCATGGTTCCAAAGTGAATGTGTAGGCATGGTTCCAAAGTGAATGTGCAGGAATGGATTCATAATTTATGAATATCCGTGATTTCGGACGGGAATGTGTAGGCATGGTTCCAAAGTGAATGTGCAGGCATGAATTCATAATTTATGAATGTCCAAAATCATTGTTCACCTCAAATTAAAGTGAAACCGCAAAATGTGAAAATGAAGAAGAAAAGTCACGCAATTAATTAAGGAAAAAAAAAAAGAAAAGATAACAGTGTACTAACACCGTTGGAACCGTGTTCACCATGAATGGTGAACACGGTTCCATGGCATAACGCTCCCCAGTCATCATGGGAGGAAATCAATCGTTATACCCTGCACCATGGCGCGCGTAGCACTGTACGCTCTGTGCCTCCCAAAACAACGTCGTTTTGGTAAGTTATGTAGGGAATTGACGTGATTATGTGTATTTGTTTATACAATTATGTACATTTTTTTTTATACAATTATGTACATTTTTTTATACAATCATGTACATCTTTTTTATACAATTATATACATTCGAAATGTGTATTATGTTAATAGATGATGTTTATTATGTTAAAAGTTTATGTATATTATGTATTATGTTATATTATATGTGTTATCTTTTAAAAAAAAAGTATGTGTATTTTGTTATACAATTATGTACATTCATGTATACAATTATGTGTATTCTAGTATAAAATTATGTATATTTTTGAACATGAGATTTTTTTTTTTAAAAAAATTAACCCGCCAACACAGGGTAGCGAAATTTCAAAAAAAAAAAAAAAAAAAAAATCTGAAACGATATCGTTTTGCATCAGGGCGCACAATGCAATGCGCGCCCTGATGCGGGATATAAATTGCCGGAGGAAATGATATCGTGGAGCCACATTGTGCAGCCCATTACGAACTACTAAGAGTCCAGAATACAAGTGATTGTTGAGGAGCACCTTTTGCAATTCTTATACCATAGATCAGGTTTCACAGTGAAGTGTAGACTATAGTGCATATAGATGTGTTTTATGTTATGAGTTTTTGTCTTTTGTATTATAAAAAATTCTATACTTCATACAAATTAATAATTTTATCTTATATTATGAATTTTTGTGTCTTGTGTTGTGAAATTCTGTGCTTATAAACACAAATTATGTACCTAAATCATATTTGAAAATAAGTAAATATATACCATATGTATGTGTCTTGTATTGTGATTTTTTTTTAGGTGTGTTATCAAATTCTGTACCTTACAAATATGAATTATGTACCTCGTCGTTTCAATCCGGAGTCCATAATACTATATGGACCTTGGTCCATGATATAAATTGCCCAAGGCAACTGTTATACCATGGACCAGGGTGCACATTTTATTGTGGACTCTGTTCCAAAAATTATTTGTTTGTAGTTAATATATTATGTGCCTTCAATTATGTGTTTATAAATAAATTGAAGGCAGATAATTTGTTAACTACATTTACATAATATATTAAATGCATATTATGTACCGGCGGTTAACATATATACTATGTTATGTGCCTAAATTTATTTATATGCACATAATCTGTTAACTGCAAGCACATAATATGTTAATTATAGACACATAATCTAAATGTTATTTTGGATCAAAGTCCATAATGCAAGATTAACCATGATCAATGGTATAATTTGCCGTCATTTACATGGTTCATCGAACAGATCGTTGCATTGTAAAAAAAAAAAAAAAAAAAAAATTGTTTGAAAGGTTAATATTTGCATGTGTTTGATTTTGATACCCAAATTAAAAGATGTGTTTTGTCTCAATTAAAAGATTATATTCATAGATTAATTACACTCTATATTTATATATTATATACTCAACATTGAAGATCATTGTACAGATGAAGCATTTATATAATCTTGTTTCTATTCAACATATGTTCTAAAAATATAATTATTCTGAAATACAAAGCCTCTGGTGTTGCTTTAAAGTTCTTTGTTTTTCGTCTATTACTTATGATTCTTGTTAGGATCAAGATGCTAATTAAAAATTATTATTTTTGACATAATGATAAACACTTGATCCTAACAAATAAGTCACGAGTTTAAATTTTAGCAAAAATAAAAATTATGCAGTTCTAACAATTCTCTTATTTTGTAATTAATAGGCATATCTTCCGATGTTTTAGCAACATATTACATTGTTGAGAGTAAAGTGATCATCATCCACAAATTTTCAACAATATAATGTTCAATCACAGCAACCTAGGAACCCATCCATCAAAATATAATGTTTCCTGTGTAATGATGTAAAATATCTTCCAAATATTCCATGTTGGTGCATAAAGGATGAAACTTCACGATCCTTGGTCGGTCTATCTGAATATGTTGCTCATATTCACTTTTTTTTTTTTTGCACAAACCAGCAGAACCTCAGAAAGCTAAGTAAGGTTCCTATCAAAGTTGTATAGTGGTCATCAAGGATATGGATGTGGCTACTCAACAATTGCTCATCAAACTCCGTACCAAAGCACAAATTGACAAGGCAGATAACAGTATTAATACAGTGCTATATATATGTGTACTACTTGGCTTGTTCATTTTAGCATTCTCTTTACCATAACATGTCTTTCCTTGTGCGATTATTATGTT